TTTGGTTCATCAACTTTTGGTAGTACTATAGAAGAAATTCCGGAAAGGGTATAATCATCATTCATGATAAAATACTATCATATATTTTTTGAACAACTTCAATCTAGACCAGGGATCTCAAACTCGCGGCCCCAGAGAACTTCCAGTGCGGCCCTCGAACGCTTAACAATAATTGTAATAGTATTTTGGAAGTTTTTTTTTTATCTCAATGTAATAGATTTTTCAAACCTTCTAAAGTGAAATTGATTATTCACACAGAAAACAATTTACTGAAAGTAGTTTTGGAATATTAATTTTTTTTGTCCACATTTTGACCCAATTAAGAATACACATCAAGCTAGCAGAAGAATACTTGAATAAAACACTTGAGTAATTAAATTAAACGCAAAGTACATGAAGAAGGTGGCATTTTCGAAGAAAATGGGAGTTGTAACATTTCTGCTCTTCACAAAATTCTGAAGCACATTGTTTAATTTGTCATATTTCCATCAATACAATCAAAAAACACAATAAGCTCAGCAGTCAATATGACAAATCCGAAGACCAACTTCGAACAGAAAATTTCCATGTGTTTGTATATTAATATAATTAAACAACGACTGAGGTACTAAAAATCAATATCAATAATAATTCAAGCAATCCTATGCCACGCAATGTAGTGCGAAATGTCTTGTCGAAAAAATCTGTCATTTGTTTTTTTACTGATCTATACATGAAATGATAAAAGTAACTTTTTTGCATTACTGGAATTAATTAAACATTCGTAAAGATCCAGATAAACCCATGATCATGTGGCCTCGTTAGTTAGAGTTGGTACTATAAAATCATTTCAGACTGGCCTTAGTATGCTGGTGACACAAAAAAGATGCCAAACGCCAGGACAAATGTAATTATTAAAACATTGAGTTTATACTGTAGGATTTTTGTTAATTTTAGGTTCATATATTTAGATTAAGTTATTTTTAGTGTATGTATTATTCTTTCCTTATTCAAAGCTTGTTCAAAAATGATTTTGATGGTTGTACATAGAATTTTACGATTTTTTATAATAAATACTGTAACTTGCAAATGTTGCAATAATAGTGGAATGCAAATATTAATATGTAATTGCATTTGAAATTGAAGAAAATAATAAAACTTAATCCAACTGTTTAGTTGCATCACAATATATGTCACAAACTAAAACTATCTTAAAAATATCTTTTGAGTATACATTATCAAAAACTGTTTGCGGCTCTTTTTACAATTTTCAAAATGCAATGCGGCTCTCGAAAACCCATGAGTTTGACACCACTGATCTATTCTAGACGACTCAAGCATTGCTTTGGGAAATTATATCACTTCAATTAAATTGAAATAATCTCGCTATATTAAATACAAAATCGTTGCTATCATAAAGGTAAACCAATTCAGCCACTCGAAATATATTGGCCTTCACAAAGCAATGGAGGCAAAATTGAGAGTTCATGAGCTATGAACATTTGTTCTTTTCTTTGTCTTGAACTTTCCATACTCCACAGCCCCTATTAATTTTTATTAATTTTAATTACCATGTGATGGTCATACATATCTTTAACTTGTATTTTCTGTCATGATGTATTATCTCAATGTGCCAAACTATTAATTAGTGTGCATATTTTGCTTCCAGATGACATAAATGTATTGTCATGTTTATTACCTCAGCTTGGAGTATTGACAAGAAAAAGGTGCCAGTGAATTAGGTAAAAAAATTTTCAACTCATTGTTATAATCAGAATTCACAATCAATAGGAATTATAAACAGCCAACAATTAGTGAGAATTATATGCGAAATTCCTCAGAATAAACTTGTCTAAAATCGGAGGAAGGCAAAAAATATAGGTAGTTTCCATTCACACAAGCATTTCAAGAAGACTTGCTCGAGCCAAACTAAATGAGCATCGTCAGGTGATCGGTAAGGCTGCAAGTTGAATTCAGCCCTGCAACCTCCTGCATAGAAGATAATATTAATTAGTGGGCTATGAGCTAAATTTAAACAAACCTATCTACGATGCATTATGTACCAGCAATGTTACCTACGATTAACTGAATATGTAATATGTCTAATAAATTCACCTACAAAAGCAAGTTCGATAGGTGCAAACTTTGTGTTATGGAATTGTATCGCAGCACAGTTTTGTATGACACCCTTTTTAAATGAAATTTCAATGATTAAGCGCAAACATTAAAATTACTAACTTTGAACTTTGTCATTATCTGCAAAAAGTTCCACACAAATCTTTCCGCTATCGCGTTTGTAATCTTCTCTGATAAAAAAAAAAGTCTATGATGTCCAGAATTGCTCTTTACAGCTTGCCTGTTATTCCAGCTTTCCAAGTAAGCAAAACTTCTTAGATATAGAGATTATTTTGTTTCGTTACAGACGCAAAAAGGCAGGTACTACACGTAAAAAAGACGCCGAGTAGCAAAAGCGAGTGGAAAACGGACGCGAAAGGCGACGAGAAATATGTGCATTGGAGCGTATCATGAAATACAAAGTTTTGCCTGTAGTCTTATGGAGTGACGTCAGAGTTGCCTATCATGTTGTTTAATGTCATTGGTTGTTCCTGCTTTTTTTAGAATGGACTCGTAAACACCTGTCGCTAAGTTGAGCACCCATTCAGCCATTAAATATTCGTGTACTATCTGAGCTTGCCTCACTAATAACATAGCATTTATATATCACATATATTAAAGGCAGGTAGTAGTGTTATGAATGGGTTTTTATATATATAATTAAACGTTTGCCCATGTTTAGCAGTGTTTGTAACACATTGCTCATGATTAGTTTTGATCACGTAATTACTACGTTGATAATAAATGAAGCACAACCGGAAACTACGTCTGAAGGTACACCGTATAACCGCCTGCACGAAAGTGAGTGCAGGCTACCTGCCCAAATGTGGCTTTGATCCCATAGGTATATAGACGATAGCAAAATACTCTCGTGCGCAATTGGTGTTCCTTATGCTCCCGATGCAAAAGACTGTCTAGTTTAGAGCTCCTGCTTAATTTACTTGTAGTACACTGAAACTAGCAGACTACGAAGCTAATGGGGTAAGGTTTTATTTTTGAAATTACCAAAAGGTAAACGAAAGGTTTTCATTATACCAACCTACTGGTACAGTTACATCCGTAAAACTCCACCCAAGACATTGGTACCTGCATACTTTTACACCCAGGAAATTTGTATTCACATATAGGATAGGATTTACATATTTATCCCGGGGGAGATGAAAGCGGATAAAAAGGCTTAATCATATGGCGAACCACGGCCTGTCGTCCGGTTACCAGTCCAGGTTGGCTATGGGATTAGTTACCCATTTTTTTTCGGAAGCATGGACTTGATGGTGGAGCAAGACGTAACCGACCAGCGGTTATGTGAACCACCCTACGGCTTCGAGGAGTCCAGCAATCCTCTCGCACATGATCATCCCCGCATGAGATTCGAACCTGCGATCCCACGACGGGTAATCAGAAATCAGCCCCGGCATACACACGGATATTGATACCAATATACACTTGCACCCGCACATACGCACACATAGTCATTTGCAGACATGGACATTTATACAATTGCATCCATGAACCAATGACCGAACGTACTCACACATGGACACGAATTTTCTGCACTCGATTTATTCGAACTTCCATCCATCTTAATCCTAGTAATATGTCACACAACGATTCTAACCAAAGCGTATTCAGTACACCAACGACTAACATACCGCAGTACACTGAGTACAACACATGGTTCCAGCATTGCAAGGCCCTGAAACTTGCGTAATACACACGACTGCAGACACTGTTATGACATAACAATAGTAGTTAGCAAACGTGTCTAGGTTTATAATTTGTAATGCAGTAATGTTTGATTAGTTTATTTTGTAAGTTGTAATGACTATAAAAACGTGTCGCCTGTAGCCCAGATTATTCTTGCAGTTTGTAAACCATCGTAATAATAAATGGAGTGTTGTCAGAAATATAGACAAAACGAGTGAATAAAGGCCAGGACTTACGGTACCATTGCTCGACATGGATGCATGGCGTTAGGGAGGTTTTAGGTCGAACGCCAGACTGCCAGAAGCGACGTGGATAGCTGGGGATAGTGATAAGTGATGCTGCATGGTGTTTATCTCGACATTTATCAATACTGCATTATACCGGTACCGGTACTCGTTTTTGGAGGACCCATTAAACTCAAACTGTTAAAATGAAATATACAAATAAAGCTAATTCAGTAATTATTAGAAGAAAGGTTCATTTTTTGCAAACTAGCCTAAAATGCCAGAATGTCTGCATGTTTTGTTGTGCACAAGCAGACAAGTTTGTATGTTGATCCTTCAGGTCTGCATGTCAATGTAGGCTATTATGATAATGCTCACACTAGTTCTTAAAATGTTCAAACTTCACCTGCAGTTTTCTGGTATTATAGCAACTTTCTTGAATTACTTCACACGGTGGACTTAAAAAATATATATTACTGTAGTCTATTATCTATCTATCTTTACAGATATACGGTATATAGGCTATTATCATAAAGACATATATTCTGCCAAAAATGAGTTATCAATTATCTGATGTTGGTATTTTCTCACAAATAATTTTGTCAGTCGACTGGCTTGAAGAAACTACACTTCTCAGTATATTATTGACAATATACTGCATTTGCATCCTACTGACTATTATCACTTGGAAAAGAATCACAATCATGTGTCTGTATTTTCTAATACTTTGCATTGCAATATATTTTGCTGAATGGATTAACAAAAGTGCCGCAAGAAACTGGAAATGGGTGTCTCCAAATCATCAATTTTTTGATTCTTCTGGATTATTTATATCAGCTGTTTATTCTCTTCCGTTACTAATTAATCTAATTATTTTATTAGTTCGAATGTTGACTTTAACAGCTTCTGAAATGATAATGGTCAAACAAATGAAATTGAAAAGTTCAGCTAAAGCATTGCAGAAAAAAGATTCATGAAATTATTGCTATTGTTTTTAGTTATCAATAATGCAATTTGTTATGAAATCCAGCTTAGTGATGTAGTGTCTGGCAATCCATTGCTAAAAGTTTTTATAACTGTTTTAGTCTTTTATTTTTCATGAGCCATTTTCACAGTTTCAATCTAAAGTCATTGTGCAGGCAGCCACTGCTGTGCAAGAAGCTACGATATTTTAGTAATAGTTACCTAATTTAATTAACCCTGGGTGTTGTGTATGGCACTGGTTTAACGTCTTTCAATTGTGACACCAATTTAGTCCAATCTCTAAAACTTTAGCCACAACCCCAACATGGGGGTAAATATTGAAATATAGTTACTTGAAGCTATAAGGACATCAATAGTTGGTCGAAAACCACCATGCTTTGTAAATTATTCACACATGTTGTTCACATTTTCAGTCAACTTGGTATTGTTTACTGCGAGTTTTCACACTACCAGTCACTGAGGGAATAGCATCTGCATTCAAGGGTGGCAAGGCAGAAATATGCTGTACTATTAGATATACATCACGTCACACATAGAAGAATTTAAACGCTCTTTTAATATGATTGATTACTATTTTATTCATCTATAATATTAATAGAGGGAACTTTGTATTTCAAAGCATTGATTTTTTAGTACTTCATAAAATATGTTGCACGACCTGATATTTGCATTGCAAGGGTATCCTGGAAGTATTTTTAAAGAAACATCAAATGGTATTGTTAGAGTTGTTCCCGGCCTTCCATTCCTATCACCATCAGAAGAATCATCGTTAAATAGACTTCTTAAGCTTTCAACAAAAATTATATTTTTTCAAAAGTTCATTGACACTCACAATTCAACTTTATATGCAGAAGGAGCAGAAAAACATTCTGATGGATTGTTGCATGGATGTTACCTGCAAGCATTGTGTTATGGGCTTGAAGATGTATTAGAATCTTATTATCAGTCCGTTTTAGACATAGAAAAAGAAATACTCGCGGATCCTCTATTAACATTTATGCATGTGTACCATTCGCTAGAACATTATTATTTGCTTTTCGATGCGTTGTATGACTTGATATCTATCGTAAAATCAAGAAAAAGTCATGGTTGTCAGATTCTAAGTACCGTTCATCATGCATCACAAACAGGCAATCGTGTTGTGCTGCGAGCAATGCTAAGAATACAGAAACGGTTGCATTTAGTCATGTATCGACAACTTTCATCATGGTTGCTGCATGGTCTTCTTATTGACAGACACAAAGAATTTTTCATTTCCAAATCTGAAGAGAAAGGACCCAATGACTCTGTTAGCGTGTTCCAGGATACTTTCTCATCCTCTACTCTTGGATCTCAATTGGAAATCTTTTATATTCGAGCAGACATGCTTCCGACATATTTACCCTCTCGTGATGCTGATGTCATTCTTTTTATTGGCTCATCATTGCATCTTTTTGAGAAAGACCTACACAAACAACAAGCACTTCATGTTGGAGGCTCTAGCATGGCAGTTGCATTGAAGGGACTTTCTGCTGATGTTGAGGGAAAGCGCATGGACGGGATTCTCAAAGAAAATCAGCAAGAATTCATGAGGGATTTTCTGTGGTTGCAAAATCAAGATAGATTCTCTTTAGAGGAGTTTGAATCCAGGTTGAATAAAATTCGATCCACTGTAGCAAGAGAACTTTGGGATTTGTGTGTTGTTAAAGCAAAACTAGTGTCTCATTTTATGATGCTAAAAGACTATTACTTGCTTGGACTTGGAGAATTATATCTGGTATTTTTAGAAGAATCTGCGATAGTAATGAGAAAACCCCCAACAAAAACTACGGAGCACGATGTTAACCAGGCATTCTTGAGATCTGCCATCAAAGTACAACTTGAAGAAGATGGTGCGTTACAAAACTTCAAATTAGTTATAGAATCAAAATCTTCTAAAGAATCTGAACAATCTTCTGGTTACACATATGATGCATCAGGAATAATGGATTCTAACGATACATGGTCTTTATTGAGTATCACATTCCAAGTTAAATGGCCATTGCATATCATCTTCACACCACCTGTACTTTCAAAATATAACAAGCTGTTTAAATTCTTGTTGAGGGTTCGTAGAGCCCAACTTGCTTTACAGAATTTGTGGGCACTTCAAATGCAAGAGAAATGTTCACTTATATGTACTGATGATGATTATGCTTCTATCAAACAAAACATTTCTAATCTGACTTTAAGAATGCATATGAGTCATCTGGTTGACAGTTTGCAGTACTATTTACAGGTAATGTATTTTACAGTTGAATCTCTCTGATCTATCCCTGAATCTCTCCGATCTGAATGGCATCAAAATTAAACAGGATCGAATGCAACCGGTTAACTGGGTTTTTGCCATGAATATATAGAGAATTTATCGATACCATTTGTATTGAAAAAAGTAAAAATACTTGCTGATAAAAAACAACAAACCTGGTTAAGATATATTGAGAACTGATTTCATAACAAAATTGTAAAGGGATGCCCTGTATATATAGGCAATATTTGGCATCCCACAGCTGAATGTGCATTTGTATAATTCAAATGCTTGCCTTTGGTGTTTCTTTATTGAAGCTTTTTGAATTACTGTATAGTGCAGAAGTTGAATATATAATGAATTTATGCTTTTGTTTAGGCGGATGTATTGGAATCTCATTTTTCTAACCTGCTTTCAAAGATCAAGAATCCAACCTCAACCGATTTTGAGCAGATTGTGCTAGCTCATGATAATTACTTGACTGCACTTCTTGCTCAATGTTTCATATTATCTACCCCAGTTTTCAGAAGTTTACTTGGTAAGGAATATTGTTTTAATGATTAGACACTAGAGCTGGGAATTTCAGGGAAAACACTTTAATCGTACCCTGACGTTTGGCGTAATAATTCACAATATTAGCTTATTGTGTCACAATGGTTACAAAGCAATTTTGTGTGATCTTATCTCGGTATCTCTCAAAAACAAGAGATATGCAGTGTGCTTCGGACAAGTATTTCTGTAAAACCCGATTCCATTGTTAAATGTCATTTATTTTCAGTGCTCGATGTGCAAATTTTACTTTAAATTATCATAAAGAAAAACAGCATCAACTGCGCACATTGAATAGACGATTTTGCAATATAAATGGTGAACAATATATTTTTACCGAAAACCGATTCTAAATTTATCATTGTCAAATTTTCATAATCAGCAATCCCTTGTAATTCAAATTATATTTCACATTCACTGGGTCCTTACCATAAATTTGCGATGAAGAAATCATTTTTGAAAAAATTGTACATTATAAAGATGATTTGTACCTGAGATGTCGGTAAATGGTTAAACTAAATCATACCCGTTAACCATTCTAAAGAAATCATTCGCAGCTCTATTAGACACATCTCACCCTATTCTGAAGTGGTACATTATGGGTTGATCCCTATATTTACAGGTGTTCTAGATATTTGCCAGCAGTTCTGCGAAGTTGTGACGGCATCTATTCAGTCGGGAACTATTTCTGCTCAAGAAGTTATACAAGGTCGTGTGGAACAATTAGCGAGTGACTTTGAACGTCAATCTTCATTGCTCTTTCATACTCTATCTGCAGTTTGCAACCAACAATGCAATCCTCATCTTGCCCAGTTTTTGCTATTGTTAGATTTCAATAAATACTACACACGACGGTTATGATTATATGCATAACAATTCTGCAATGCTTTAGGGAACTTTTTGCATTGACCATGGTATTTTAAAAATAACCAAAGTTACCAGTAAGTTAACTTCTCATCCCCAAGACCATGAAACCCTTACACACGACTTTTTGTAATATTGCTTTAAACTTTATATATATATAATAAATACTGCTGAAGTACTGAACTCAAATTCAGCTTCATGCATTTGCACTCTTGTAATCTGTGAAAACATGATTATGGTTCCATTTTTGTAATTGTGGTATTTTATTATGAGAGAGAGCCTGGGACGATGTTCGCATAGGTAAGAGTTGCAGTCTATGCCTGAAGTGCAGGCAGGCCCTTCCTTGTGAAGAAAAAGATAAACATTTGAATGATTTGATTATGGATAGCCAGCATTCAAAGGCATTATTTAGTCGTCCTTCACTAGAAGAGATCTTTCCAGACAGCTCCCAATAAAGCTTTGTTTAAACTATTATTAGGTCATAAATCCCTTCAGTTCAGCTAATTAAAGGAACCTTTGTGTTTCGTTACCTGAAGCTCCGGTCAGTTTCACCAGACATACACATACCGGTACCTAAAATGCACTTTTAGACTAGTTTGTTTTTTCGCCAGTGAAGTGTGGATTTAAAATGCATCCTGAATCCTTTTTAAGTAGTCTGTTAACAGACTGGAACTCATATTTGCAATGCAAGTAGCTAGTTCCAAAAATGTTGTTTTTCTCCGGACTGCAGCTTATTTTTTGTTCAAACTGTTGTCATTTTAGTCTCAGCACTCCTTTCACAATATTGGAGATTCATATACAACCATCACTGGGCCATTCCAAGCAAAAGTTGAATTTCATCAATTTTATTAAAAGTTAAGTGAAAGTAATTTTTTTGTATTTTTCATATAAAAGACATTGGAATTTTATTGGACTGCATCCATTTCACCGAAGAAGTTAAAATTTCACTCAAGTTTTTGATGGTTTTTAGAAAATGGCCCGAAATGTAGAAATTTTTGTGTGATTGACATATTTTGTGATGATTAGTGATACAGTTATTTCATATGAAATAGACGCACTGGATTTAAGTTAATAAAGTTTAAATGTTTGCAGTGCTGTAGAACATGTCTTCACCCATTTAATGATTTATTACCAGAATTTTAAGAGATGATGGAGGCCGCTGTTCCGAAGTGGAAAAATGTTTTGTAGTGTCACGTCCTGTAGTGTCACCTACGATATGCACATTATTGGGATGAATTTACAGTGTTACATTAAGTAACTTGAGCAGCGCATATAAGGGTTCTTCAGCTACTGCATCAGAAAATATTATGCGGCCCTGCTGTACCATCGCAAAAATTTACAGCACAACACAATAAAACGTTAATGCATGGTGGATTTTGCGTCCTGTAGTGTCACGCTATATTTCACGTTATTTTTTATATCCACCAAGTAAGTCTTGCGTGTAACTTTTGTGCAATTTTTTCCATATTCAATAAAGCAATTGATTGGACAATGAAACAGAACATGTAGCTGAAAATGTAAAAATATATTGCATCTAACAACATGCAAAATTTCTGCAAGTGTCACTTGGAATGGAATAGCCCCACTGTGTCACATTCGAACCAAAAAGCATTATTTCAAAATGGCTTTAAATTAAATCCAAGCTTGGCAACAGTAGATGTAACAGTTTCGTTACACCTCTGGGAGAAGCCTGTCACACAAATTTGACTTCAACTCCTCTCAAACAATCCACATTCATTTCAACAAACTCCAAGGCTCATTCAAAAAACTTTTTTGGTTTTTTCACCCTTCCAGATTGTCCCATCATATAGGAATCGTTTGAATGTCTCTTTGCAAAATGAGTTTGCGATTGTGCTGTGAGCTGGAGGCTGACCGCTTGTGCATTTATTTTTTTACTTCCAATTAGCAATTCCTCCAGCCCTTTCATTTTGACACTTTTCACTCCAAGTAGTGAAATTTCAGCAGCATTGTCATTTGATAAAACATCTTCCTTTCTCAAATTTCGTTTACTGAGCTTCTTCTCCGTACTTGATTGTTGAAGCTGATTTTCATCCTCCGTAACGTCATTGGCATTACTGCTGTAATGTAACAAAACACTCAATTTACCATGATTGTGGATTTTTGGGAGAGCCATATTATCAGCACAGGCTTATGTTACCTGAATATAATTCGAATCAAGATGGTAGAAATAATGTGAAACTATTTGTGGTGAAAATACAATTTCAGTCAAGTTATATTCAACATACTATTGCTCATTTTGGTTTGTGACATGTATTGGACAGATGTCAGTGTTCAGGATACACTTGCAACTAGATCAGTGGTTCTCAACCTGTGGTACGCGAACAGATTTGAATTATTGCAACAATTAATCTTTCAGTTGGCTAAAATATGCCGGCAACGCTTTATCTTCCTTACTGTATGTATTCGCTGAACAGCGTTTAAGGATGTTTACCCAAGCATCAGTTTACTTGTTTATTTCCGTAACCATAACCAATCAGCAATAAGTCAATAATGACGCAACACGTAACTATTGCAATTTCTGCACTCAGCCGCCCAGACACTTCTGTCGCTCAAACAGATATTCAAGCATGGTTGCAAACATTGCCTCGTTTTTGTAGTTTTGAGTGATATTTGTCAGTTTTCAGTTGTGTTTCAAGAAAATAATAGTGAATTAATTAACTTAATTGTCATTATGTCTTCAGCGGAGCTTTACTTTGCAGTGATCGAAATTGAACCTCGCAAATGCTGCGATGGAACAAGGCTAAACTTAGCTATGTCAGTACCTGCAAATGGCACATGTTGATTAATTTTAATAAAAATTATGGTTTCAAACACGTAAACCAGTTTATATGCGCCAACATACCAAAACAACCTCAGAATAAGCATAAAGTTTGCAATAGTAAAGTATAAGAGTGATTTTTCTGGGGTCAATGGTCGGGGAAACGTCCATAGCACTGGCGCGCTATCGGTCTTTGAGATTGCCCTCGCCCGCTATTGCCCACCTTAAATGAAGCGATATGGGCATGTTTTTGTTCGTTTTACGCCACAAAGGATGTAGTGCCACATTCTAAAATACACACATAGCATGTTTCTTGTGTCTTTTTCACCACGCCAAAAAAGGTGCTTTGTCGGTGGTACGCGGTCATAGTAAAAAACAGTAAAGTGGTACGCGGTCAGTAAAAGGTTGAGAACCACTGAACTAGATCAATGGAAATGTGACCTTCAGATGATTTCCTGAGAACCTAACCTGGGTGAAACTTCCTCTACTTCACAAAGCTCCTTGCTGAATGAATGTCTTACTTCGGTTGAAAATCTTCCGAGAGATTGTGTAAAATATTTAGCCCACCATGAATGAAGCACAGGAGTTGAGCTGTCTTCTTCCCACAGACATATTTCATCATAAAATCTGATAATTACAAATTGCATGACATTACAGATTATCTGTAGCACCAATTGTTATTGACACTGGTATGGTGTGTTGCAATACTGATTCTACTTTATAATAATGTAACATAATAAAAAAAGTACATATTGAACCCAGCGTAATATTGTATTTAATTTTGTCAATATTGAACATTAGGTTTCGTAAATATTGAACATTAGGTGTGAAATAAATATATCTGTGCAACTGTAACGGAACCATGAGTTTATGTGCCACTTATGACAGACCAAGACATGATTTTGTAGGACAAGCCTTTTAAAAGTCATCATTGGAACTAATCTGGATATTTACACATTAACTGTTCCAAACTATAATTTTCTATAATATAATAAAAAATCCTTTTCAAAAGCATACATCAGTAGATCTGAATAGACCAGTGACTGTTCACTTGGGCGAACAAGAGAAGTACCCCAAAAAGCTTAATCCTCACTTAATCAAATCCATGAAGCATTCTTCACTATCACACACACTGGGATCGTTTTTCATAGCTTGTGAAATAGATTCTCCTGCAATATCCATTATTTCTTTGTATATTTCCTCATCCTCTCGTGTGTAATTATAACTGGGAATATATAAATGCGATACTATGATAAAATGAAACACTGCAATCAAATTTGAGTATCTTTCACACAGAAACGGCTATACATTACTCTTGCCGTACTTGTTTCGATTTTAGAAACTTACTTGGATAGAACTTGGGCTGCCATTGACCAACAATGGATTGCTTTTTTACTGTCATTGTGCTTCAAATGGAAATGTCCTTTAGCACAATGTGGAAAGACATGTAAATTGTTGTAATGCGTCTGTACTGATTTCACTGCTTCATCATGTAGATCTACTGAATCTTCCAAATCTGCAAGAAAGCTCAAACCCATTGGATACCTAAGAAACAATAAAACATTGCAAAATTTATTAGTAAATATCAATAACACTTAGTGATCCAGTCAAAGTCACTATTAGGATTTAAAAAATCCCTGGGGGAGAGGAGCTTATAGTATGGCTTAATCATGGCCTCTCGTCCGGTTACCAGTCCAGGATGGGAATAGTTAGCCAGTTATTTGTTTTCAGATGCATGGACATGATGGCGGAGGATGCCTTAACCGACCAGCGGTTACGCTGAGAAATTCAGCAGTCCATAATTATCTCCGCATGGGATTTGAACCTGTGAACCCACGCAGGGTAATCACAGGTGTGGTGACGAGCGTATGCTCGACGCTTAGCAAGATTCTCCACACTGCCGAGCACTATACAGGTAAGAATACAGATTCAACACAGACAGTTCCATATGCCTCACCTTTCCAAGGCTCCATTTTTGTACATAATTTTCAACAACTTTAGTTGAATATCAGCTAAAGTTTTACTTTCAAAATGAACATCAATTGAAGGATTAATTGATACTATCATTGCTGATAATTCCATCAACCTGTTGCAGATGACACTTTTGTTGTGAAGATACATCCAACTCTAAATATGCAAAGCAAATGTGTTTCATTAGACAATGATATAGTAAAACTGTCACCCCAGTTGATAAACATGCTATTTCGAAGTATTGGTCAATTGATTATTCTACACTTACATATATTTTGAAGATAATGTATGAAATAGTTTTGACCAAAGGGACTAACTAGGCTACTTATCCTTCTTCTATGCTTTTGTGTTGGTGGATTCGCATGCATATAATACAAGGATGCTATAGCAAGAATGAAAATAACTATTCTATTTAATTCAAGAGTTGTGCTGCACGCTAACACAAATATATTTCTGTAGCACTTTGTCGGATCAAGGTCCACAAACATTCAGAATATAACTACAACAAGAAGAGAAATTGCATGCACACATTTAAACAATGAATGTCATGCCCTAAAGAATCATTAGTGATTGCATATCAAAAAAAAAATCAGTTGAAAACATTTGACACTTGCATCTGATGATAAAGTTCAGTACTCCATTAAATATTATATAAAAGTACACTTTCAAAAACTGACAAAAGATATACAAACACAATGCAAAAATAGACTCAAATTATACCAGAACGCAAAAGTAAAGCAAATGAGAATAACAATGAATGAACGTACTCAACTTTTTCTGTGTTAGTCTGATTGACTGGAAATCCTCGTTTGTCTTCATTACCTTTTCCATGCCATGTTATTTCAGTAGCTTCCTGAAAAAATGAATTGAACCTATATTTCTATGTACAGTTAGTTATAGAAGCATGAAACAACTCCTACTCCGAAGATTTTCAACTACACCTACACAAAGGTTTAAGCAGCATATACCGGTACAGATAAGTAATCAATAAAAAGCATGATATTACATAATAAGAAATAAGATTGGCCATCAATTTGAATTGACTATGATTCAGCAATACCCAGGTTTTCGTTTCAGCATTTCAGATAATATAAATTAGGAATAAATCAAGACAAGTCATTTAGTTTGGCATCAACAAAATGATGTTACAGATAATAAAAAAATTAACTGTCTTAACTCTTAATTATTAACTGCAGATATGGAAAACACATCCTTGGTTAGTTTTTTTTGTTTTCTCCAAGTTCTCTTTGTCCCAACTTCCCAATAGCTAACAAGATTGAGTACTACCAATTAAATCCAAATATAAAAATTGGAGCACCTCCTTGGAAATCCAAATCAACCTATTTCGGGTCAAGTTACAGATATTTATTGGTCTGAAAGAGGTTTGGATTCTCACTCACTATTACAAAATGTAAATAACCTTGCAGTTATCACCATGTACTATCCAAGCATGATCTTCACTCAATGCAAGATGAACATCATTGTAGAGAAGTATCTGACAAGCAGCAACAACCATTAATGCGAGACCAAAACAATCCAATTGTCGACCTGAAAAATGATGTTTTTGAGTCACTTTTTTTACATAAGTTACATAAGTATACAATTCGGTCAAATAATCAAAACAGACCTGAAAAATGTTAGATCAATAATGAGATTAGATTTTCATATTTATTCTAGGGAGATTAAATTAATAACAAATAGACGGCTCAATCATATGACGAAAGACGGCCTCTCATCCGGTGTGTGTTATTATCGATGAGCATGAGGTGACCAAATCAAACTGACTGGTAAAGCTTTATTGAAGGAAGATTATAAACAACAATGGATATTTTATATTCAGAAAATAACTTCTATACATTTTCAGATGAATACCTGTTAGAAAGCTGAACAAAGATTGTATGTGAGCTTTATCCTTGTGATAATGAGGATTAAGTCGATTCCACATAAGATCGCTAACCTGTAAGAAAGTATGTAGGTATTTGTTTTAGTGGTTTCTTACGCAGGAACTTGATCAAAAGCTTCTGAATTGGGCGTAATCAAAAACTGTCCTTAAAAATATCATCAAACAGGCTATTGTGTCAAAACTCATTCGCTTCTAGTTGTCAATAACTCAACCAACCAAATGATGCTTGGAACTAATAACTCAAATCTAAATAAAGCTCGGAACTAATAAACTGAATCTAAAATTTCCAGCCAATTCACCTTTTTGCAAAGTTCTTTAGTTGCATATCCACCTCTTGTTGTATTCTCAGTTGAACTTTTATCTATAAACCCTTTTACCAGTATTTTAAATTTCAAGTATAATGCTTCCACGACGTCAAAATCAAGAGTTGGAAAGTCGTCAAGATCAGATTCCACAATGGAATCATTGTCTGTCTGAGCATTTTCTTTCTGGTGAAATACAAAAAATGATTTACCGGTAATGCAATGCTTTGTGTTACATTCACGCTGAAGTCAGAAAAACAAATCTAGAAATTGCCTACACGCTTTTTATGTGCCTTTTGTTCCGGGAAAGGCTCTGTATAAGCAGCCATCGTTATATAACGAGCTACCATAGTTCAGAAGGTCTGGAAAAGACTGGAATCCTCCCGTTAAGTCCGTCCAACCAAATTTCTTACACCATGAGGTCGGTGGTGGGAATGGGATTTGGTCTTACACTTTAACCAGTAGGTCACAAACTTAAACTGTAAGAGATGGTATCCTATACTTTGTAGTTTGAAAAATTAGCATAAAATGACTCAAGCAACTATAATAATGAGATTTGGGGGGCAGGCAACACACAGCATTAAAAACAACTACGAAAATATAGTGATACCGATTTTTGTGATAACCTATTGATTTGTGTCAAATGTAGATAACTGAAATTGACACAAAACTGTTACTAGACATACCTTTGACTCCTGCCTTGTTACACCTTGCCGATAAAGTGATTCAGCATCTGACTCAGCACTACTACTACTTGGTTGATCTGTGGTTTTACTAAGAGTAAGCTTGTACTCTAGAACGCCCAACAAAATTGACAAAAATGCCAAGTTTGGTTCATTTTTTTCATCAGCAGCGTGTTTCAAATGCAATTGAAAAAACTCGATAAATCCATCCGATGATTGAATGGGAAACAAAGACTTTTCATCTTGGGATATTTCCATCAAAAGAATTGCTACAATCAATATTAAAATTACGTTTCATGTAGTAAATCATATAAACCTTGCAAAAAAGGAAATTGGGATAAGTAAATGCAACTAAAAAGCAGTGAAACACTCAAAAAAAGAGTCATTTCTTTTCTTATAAAAGATGAATGGCAGCAGAAATTTACAATATGGTACAATTAAGGCATACATGATTACAGACACAACTTGAAATGTTATTTTTCATTGAAGTTAATTACTTATGGTAACACGAGAGTAAAAATTTTGCGAATTCAACAAAACTTTATGAAACGAAATGTACGAGTAGATAATAGTTTAACGTAAATGAACAATTTTGAATTGTATAAAAAATCCCAATTCTATTGAAGCATTGTCAGATCTACAAGAAGGCAGGGAATGCCTCCAAATAGCCATTCAAAAACTTTGGCAAACTTGTATCCAGTAGCATCTTACTTCTGTGACAATCATGGCAGTTTTGTTATAATTTATTACCGTACATATTTTGACACGATTACAGTTACCAGACGCCGCAATGTTATGAACGGGGCGGAATCTACCAGATTCCACATATAGTCAATTCCATTTTCTTATACCTTGGGTAGCTGGCGGGCACAGGTTTTTAATCAAAGATGTATATCCTGTAATGGCAACGGAGTTTAGGTCCAGCTTGTTAATGACAAGACCGATCATGCTTGAAAAAGTTTAAGGCCCACATTCCTATGATACTACCCATTGATATTGTAAGATGACTGAAATTTAATTTCAATTGGAATTGGCAATACAATGAGTCACAACACACCAGTGATAAAATTTTGTTGTAAAATCAGGGATGGCAAAAACTGAATAACTTAGGATTCCAAATACATTCTAAAATAATCTTTTCAAATATCAAACATATTCTGAATGGGTCTGTTCCAAAATTCTTCGAGACAATTGCAAATTTGTATAACTCAAATTTAGTCATGCAGTCTAATTGTGATAAACATTTTCTATTTTATTCTGTCAGAACTAACTTTTTATCTATCATAATAAAAAATGAAATTCAAATGAAAATATTCTAAATTATTCCTAAAATAAGATTTTACTATAACGAATATAACCAATTTCTAATTTATTCGAATATTCAATTTGTTTTGGACATTCCTGGTTGTCATAATCGTTACAATTGGTAAACAAAAATAACATGTTTAATTAAACAAATATGTGCAAAACCAAAACATAGTAGCACCATAGACACCACGTTATGATATGATGAAGAATTATAAACATGAATGGCACAAACAATGAACTGCATTTCAAGGTTCATTCAACATATGCTTAAATATAATTGTCACACAAGTAAAAGTAAGAGTGTTATGTCAATTGTTAAGAATGCGTATAGTCTGATAGTTTACATCAAATAAACATTCACCCATAATCAGGTATAAGCAATTTGTAATCCCACACAAACACTTTTTACATTATCTAGATCATGGTTTCCCAAACTTTATGTTAATAGATACACCTTGGACTGATCCTAGACTGCTGTGTACCCCCAAAATTGCCCTACATGCTGTGATTGGACGAAATAAGCCATGCAAACTACGAAGTACACTCTGTAGTTACTGTATTTGTGTTTTAGGCTTCTGCCGAGGTGGAAATTTGACTTTCTAAAGAGTTGCTAAACTAAGGTCTTCAGATTATTAACATCAGATGATAAAATTTTTTAAGGCAGATTAAAGTTGGGAAGATTAATTCTTATACTCAGTTTAATGTACTCCATGAAAAGTCTGAATGTACTCCAGGGGGTACATATACCACAGTTTGAGAATCCCTGATCTGAAGCTTGGTCAAAATTGTGTGCAATGTCTCAATCCTCGGCACAATAGCTTTCAATGATTGCTCAACCACCCTCCCAGTTTCTCATTTTTACATTAGTTGGCAATTTGTACGTAAAAAGAAAATAACATTTATGTGCTTGAGTTGGAATTGAATATCATATACGGTATGTTTCACAATTCTATTGCAAATATGATTGCATTTGTGGCAATCGTTATCTATGATGACTATATCCAAGTAACAGAATATTAAAGCATTATTTTCTATAGTATTTTCAAAAATTTTGATTCTGTAGTAGCATGAACTTCGATAAGTGAGAGATGAATCAAAATTTAAATTCAAATATTCCCAATATAAAACTTGTGGATTATTATTCAAATCATACACTCTAGAGAACCAGTCTCGATTATCATAACATGTTGGAATAACCTTGGATGTAAAATAGGTAACCAACATGTTAAGACAGAATACCAGGCCAAAAAAATCAAATTTATTTTGTTGCAAATAATTGACCTAGGCAACTTTTTGTTTCTTTGTGGTTTGTTCAGTTAGATCTAACATATCTGTATTATCAAGGTTATTTTCCGTCCTGGGTCGTTTACATCCTGTTGCAGAATTATCTTCTATGATTTTACCATTTTCATTTTCCCCGTTTATTTTCAAATTTAAATTGCTCTTTTGAGCATCTAAATTATCAGTTTCATTATTGACTATAATTTTAGCTTCACCAATTGAATTTGAATCAATTATTTTCACATTGTCTACATTCATATCTTTTGCGTCCCCGGAACTTGCAGAATTAGATTTCTGAAGCCATGAAGTGTTGAATCGAACTACAATACATGTCATATTATCACATCCCGTCCCATCCCCGGTGGTGTCTGGAGCCAAACAAGTGTCCAACAATTCTTCACATATGGATGAAAGTTTAAAATTCTCTTGGCTATCGTTTGCTGGAGGTATTCTGACACGAATAAAATCTACAACTTCTTGACTTGAAAAAACATTCCAAATTCCATCACATGCAAGAATCATAAAATCGTCACCAGGTTGTAAGTTCACCTTTTTGATATCAGGCATAGCACTTATCATTTGATTTTCAAGCTCAATTGCCTTATTTGTTTTATAACAATGATCGCCAATAGCACGAGATAAATTTAATCCACCATTAACTCGACCTTGCATGTTGACGTGTCCACCTGCAGCTTTGATGCGCTTTATTTCAGAGTCATCTTCAGGTTTATGATCTTCAGACATATCAACTGCGACTCCATTTCGACTTAGAACACAACGAGAATCTCCAGCATTAGCCACAAGCAGTTCATGACCTTTTAAAAAAGCGACCACAGCCGTTGTGCCACTATCTTTGCCTGGTTCCTCAATGGTCGTAGAAACAGGAGCAATAGACGGTATTTCTGAAATATCAATGTCTTCTTCTTCCTCACTTTCATCTTCCTCCTCATCATCATCCTCTTCCTCCTCACTCTCATCACTGCTTCCTTCCACAGCCTGATCACTATCAAATCCATCTTCATCAGATTCTGAATCAGATTCATCTGGAGTTCCTTCTTCCTCTTGGTTGGTCATCCATTTCAACTTAACAGACTTGAGTTTTGGCTGAAATTTTTCACTACTTGCCCCTTGTTTTAAAGTCTCCTTAGTAATTTTATCATCACTTTTGTCATCAGTTGAAAGCATTTCATTTGGCTCACCACAACTGGATGAGCAAGCATCTTCCGAAGACTTTTTGCCGGGCTGATCAGATGAAGATGTACTACTCCCTTCGCCCCCTCCACTACTACTTGAAGATACAGAACAAGTTGAAGCTTGTGAAACAGAATCCATTTTAATATCAGATGAAGAAGAAACAGAATCATCCTGAGCATCATCCTGAGTCTTTTCTTTTTTTACCTCACCAGTTGATGCTGAGCTACTCACACCACACTCACTGCTGCTAATCATTGAGGATGTTGAAGAAGCTGTTTCAGATGTTGTATTGCCACTCGTACCGCTCAAATTTTCTTCTTTCAATTTGGCTCTTTGAGCATCTATTGTTAATTTTGTTTCATTAGCGGCTTTCCCATATCTTTCCAAAAGTTCTTCTATGCTCATTGTAGCTTCCTCATGCAAAAGTTTCATTTCATCTTCCTCACATTCTTCTTCTTCCTCTTGAGCTTCTGCAGCTTCAATATCTGCTTTACTTGGAGGACCAGAATCCGGATCTCGATCTGCTAATACTTTTAATTCTCTTATAGTTTCAGATTCAAGTAATATTTTATCAAGTGACATGAAAGTCTCTTTCAGAGCATCTTCATATCTGCCTTCTTTATATGCATGAAGATCCTTGAGAACGTCAGAAAAATGTAGAGCGCAGTACATAGCCACCTCACTGCCACCATGTCCATCATAAACCCCAAATAGAGATGAATTATTTTCAAAGGATGGAACACAGTTATGAGCATCCTCCATTGATATTCTCCATCCTTGCATTCGAGAAACACCGTATGAAAATTTTTCTGAATCATCAAAGTCATCAGACTTTTTTTCAACAGATGGTGCACTGAGATAGGCACCCATATTCGGGTTTATATGTGTTAATCAACCGTCTAAACAAGTAGGTTGTTATTGTTCAAGCTGAAATAAAAATGTAAAAAATGTTAGGACAAAATTAAAAAATTGATGACCAACGTTGTGGTTTTTTAGCTAATTTTGTAGAGATTCGGATTTGGTGCAAGATTCGAGATTAAGTGGCAAGTATTGGATTAAACACCCCTTCTTTATTTTTTCAATAATTACAAAATTCGGATGATTAAGTGATTAAGTAGGTTGAGTATAAGTTTATTTCGACTCCTTAATCATCATAACAGGCGATAAAATAGAGTGGAAGTGGTGACTCCTCTACGGCCCATGGAATTGGGCCTCGGCCCATCAGGTTATGGGCCGCGGCCCATCAAGTTGCAGAGTTGTGCAGAGGGACTATTCATTCTGTCATTTGGCTAACACAGACAGTCCCCGAACTCATAATAGAACTATAATGTGAAAAAACTGAACAAATCTATGTCCCAACCCTAACCTGGTACACATACTACAGCAGTATTCTTTTCTGTAGCTTGGTATTTTGCTTTATTTTTATATAAAGGCTTATCGTAAGAAAAAAAATCGGTGGCATTCCGCGATTTTTATTTTGGTTTGATATTGACAATTTTGTAGAAATTAAAAATTTTGGTGAGAAAATTGAATTTTTCCTGATGGGTCGCGGCCCATAGCTTGATGGGCCACGGCCCATGTGGCCCAATTAGATGAGCCGTGGCCCCGGCCCATGGGTCGTAGAGGATTCACCGCCCCTGTAGATAAAATACCTGATAAAAACAAATAAATAAAAACTGATTCAGAAATCAGGGGAGCAAACAAAAAGGTCAGGTAAGGTTTAAAATGTACAGAATATATAAGATGGAATACTTGGGGCTAGTTCACTAAACGCCGTCAAGGAGTTCTAGTTGGCGTGAGATAACCATTTCCGCATATGTTATTTCTAACCTCAACCTGATTATGTCATCCAAAAATTAAAATTATGCAGACGAACAAATCAAGCAAGCTATTTTTCTCGTCCTACTGCAGTACTGATCCGGGTGATCCCGATATAAGAGAGTTCGCTGGCGTTAGCAAGTTCTTATCATCGGCGGAGATGCCATTTCAGGCGATTGTAACTTTTCTTTGGCAAGCTCTATGCGTACTTGTGACGTCGTAGTGACATAAGTTTTGGATGATGTAGCCAGGTGGGGGTTAGGGATAACTTATGCAAAAATGTTTGTGCCACGATTGCCACCAGGTATATTCATATCAAAGATAAATAAAGCACAACCGGTGTATAGCAAAACAATATATGTTTGAGCCACGTCAACTAGAACTGACTGACAAAAAAAAGAACGAACTGACAACTGACAAAAAAAAGTGGTACCGGTACATGTTCACCCACCTAAAATTATCAAATTAGTTCTCACACACACAGCCACCAAGATATTATAAAGTAAGAAGAATGTGATAAACTTGAGAAAAATTAGATAGTAACCAAATACTGAAATACAAATTATTTGCCACTTCATATTAATAATTTTATAACAGTTACCAAATTGAGTTGGCCTACCGGTATAAATTTTGTAAACCAGGTTAATGAAGTTAATTTAATGACAACAAATTTATCATCGTCGCTAATTGAGTAAGGCAATACAGCAATAAGTAGCCCTGTAGCCTAGATGTGTAAACCATTTTATGTCATTTATCAGTTTATTTGTAATGTTTTCACAGATTTAGGCACTTTAACTAAATGGACCTTTTATTTATTCAAATATTATAAATGGATTGTAGAGTTACTTACACACATACGGTAATAGCCCTGTGTTTCATTGCCTCAATTACACCCATTAACGCACATAAAAGTGAACGACCATGCCCAAATTGTACAAACAGCACACATGCAGCTTTCACCCGGGAAAAAGTCTAGCAGTGGCGTCGACTTTTCGGATTTCGGGTACTCGACGCCAGGACCGGAATTTTAAAGCAGAGTGTTGTCTGGTAACATTATTGTCACTGAGAGATAATATAGGCGTAAATATATACTTATAGGTACAGTAATTTATTTTGAACTCCGCACAGGATACAAATACAGAGAAGTTTTCATAACTTTAAATGATGTTTAAACACGTGCTGGCCCCAAAAACGAATACGACTGGAAAGCAGAAAAAGTTATCTTTAATTTTTTTTTTCTAAAGAAAAATTTGCTCAAACGGCATGCTCACTTACTCAGAGGTAGAGGAGATTCTTTTCGGGGGAAAATAAGAGGTGACAAGCTGAGATGTCAGTTGAAAACATCATGCTACTGTACAATAGGCACACATGCAGCTTTCGCCCGAATAAAAGGCTAGGTTTTCGGATACCGGTACTCGTTACCATGACCGTAATTTTAGGAGTCGCAGTTCTTACCACTTCATGGCAGCTCCTGCCACGAACGAACCGCGGCGTCTCTTGCCATGGTTTATGGCGCTATTACTGGTATATTCACAAACTTATGTAACAGATTTTAGTGTATCATGCGGAACTATATCTACTTAAACCTGAAACCTAACCCCAAATCCACCAAAACTGTATCCATAAAAAATGTTCCAACTTACCCAATATTTGTCGGTCGGTCGACATAGTTGACCTTGCAGTCTTGCCCGCCCCCTCCCGATTATATTCTATAATTGTTCTTTTCCATTTATTGTAATTTCATATTTTTGGATATATTCGGAAAATAAATCATTATCTATTATAACTATTATTATGTCTTTGTCACCATCAGGGGCAGCCCTGTCTTTACGCCCGACCTGCCGTGGTTACGGCACCAAAATTTTACCCGTCATTGGTTTCCAATTTGCTGCCGCATAACGGCAGCTCGCCATTGGTTTGTGGCAGCTAAAAAGTCAGTAGCCATGAGTTTGACCCACTGAACTGGAAATATATATCTATATATCTCTGTGGTTTGACCATAGGGCCATAGCGACCATGGTTTGGAAATACCGCCATGGTTTTGCGGCAGCTCCAGACGCCACGAAATACTTGAAACTGCACTTGAATTTTAGAGCAGTGTGTTGTCCAGTAACATTGTTGTTCACTGAGAGATAATATAGGTAATTTATTTTGACTCCGCCATGGTAGAAAACAAAAATAACAGCACATAAGACAAACGCACAGGATAGAAATACGAGAAAGTTGTCAAAAAATTTAAATTGTGTTTAGACACGTGCTGCATAAAGTACTGATACGATTGGAAAGCAGAAAAAGATATCTTTATCAGTAATCAGTAGTTTATTTTCTCACCATACTAAAAGCACATTTGATATACAAATTGCAATAAATATTTAAAAAGCATTTCATTTTTAATTTTTTTTTTCTGAAAATTTTTTTTTCTCAAACGGCACTCTCACTTACTCACAAGTAGAGGGATTATATCTCTGGGGAAAATATTACGTGAAAGCGTTATGTTGGTGCATTACGCAACAATGAATAGCGACTGGCACGATATAAGTTTTCAACAGCAGTAAATGCCATAAAATCATGTTATGTTTGTTGGATGTTTCGAACTCGTATATGCAAAGATTGTACAAAAATCAATTTTACTTGGACTACACAGACTTGCAATGCGGATTCACTTTTGGATATTATTTTCAGCAAAAATAAAATTTTACAACTTGAAATTGAAAAAACAGAGTTTTGGTTCATTAACTTATGTAAAACATCGTGTATGTTTAACTAATATTCAACAATGATGGCATCAATATGTAATTCAAAGACAAATGATTAACAACTCCCAGTGGAATCAAATTTCTCTAGATTGTAGACATCAAGTTCGGAATCGCTAAATATTAAAATTGCAAACAAATTTCTTGGAATTTTTCATCGATTTCCAACATCATTGGTATTAATTACATAAAAGAAATAGATCGATGAAAAATTGAGACAAACGTAAGATTGCAACCGTTTAAACAGAACTGTATCACCGAAATAACTTCTATTCAGTATTTTCACGATGGATATATTTAGTTCGAATCGAATAGGTGGTTTTGATAAAGAGGAACGAACGCTCTCACAGTATTACCGTCGAGTATGATGCAAGGCCCGGGCAAACACTACACCGCGTAGTCTGAGTAGCAGTCTGTGCGATGAAATTTTTGTGTATAAAATACGATTGGTACGAATTGTTTGCATACTTGTTTAAAGAGATAAACGGCAGCTTTCAGCAGCGTCTGTGAAGAACGGTTCCGTTGGCTACGTGCAAATCTGTTTACCTAACACTCGATGCTTCAAAACCTGACTACAATATACTTTGAATTGTATACTCTGCATTAGAATCTTCTTATAATCATATATCAAAAATTACAAAGACCTTATTTAAGATCTAAAAAATTTCTAAAGTTTATCAAATTTGCATAATGTCGAGTGAAGTTGAAAATCTTGATCTGAAGGACAAAGAGCATATTACGATCACATGGAAGGACGGCCATACAAGCAAGTAATTTCCTATTATATCCTACAGATTATATACTACCTTTATGCGGATTTAAATATCTTATACGAACTTGCAGGTATCATGTAAAATGGATCAGGTTTCACTGTCGATGCGAAAAATGTTTTCGTTCATTTTCTGGCATGTACCCACTGGATACTATGAAATTTCCTGATGATTTTTACATCAAGTCTGCGAATGTAGCAGGTCAGTTTACTTATAAATAGGCTTACCATACGTCCCGGTTTAGGCGGGACAGTCTCGCTTTTCAGCGTTTTGTCCCGCCGTCCCGATAAGTCAGCCAAAGGTCCCGCTTTTCCAGCATAATATACAAACATCGTTACTGTTGTTTCTGTGTAGCGCATCCCTAGCCTACTTACTGAAGGTGAATGCGTTCGTTTCCCGCTGATTCCCATTGATGGCAGACGTATCGCATGTAAAACCAATACTATTTGGTCTAAAGTCGAATTATTTGCACCGGTATCGTTAACGTCAATTCCTTCCTATTTTTCGAACTGAATCCGATATTTGGACAGAGAATATGCGCATTAAATTTCGATAACAATATGGTCAATAAAGACAGCCGGGACAGCTTTAAATGCAGGAATGTAGGCCTATGTAGTAAAATCGGAAAATGTGAAGTTACAAAATCACAGCTAAGGGGTCGTTGTCTTTTGAGGCGTCCCGATTTGAAGTCACAAAAATATGGTAACCCTACTTATAAAGAGTTTGGTAGATTAGATGCAGGTTTTCAAAGTTACGTTTGCCAAAAATGACAATAATTACCGATAAAATATTTGCAAGTGGAAGGAGTTGCATTTGAATTAAACATGAAGAAGATAGGAACCTAAGTATCGTTGGTATAATTGCCGGTTGTAACAGTAACTAAAGTCGATTTAAAATTAGAAAACTCACGAAGAAATGTGAAGCAGGAATATTAATTTAGTTCTACATACTCTGTTTGGGCTATCCCATCGAGGCTTAAGTGTCAAATGTGCTATTCTAGCATAAAGTAGGCAAGTAATGTTTCACCAATATTTGTGGAGCTAGAAAAGAGACCATCTTCAAAATTTAGATTTTAGGGCTCTATTATGCTACAAGGTTCTATTCGCTCATGGCGCTTAAACTGTCAAACAAAAAATTGCGTTATTTTTTTATACTTCAAACTCAAATTCGAATGGAATTTTTTATTGGTAAATCTTCTACATATAACTTTTGTAGATAACGAACTACATTTCACAACTGATTACGAAATTTTCGAAAATCACTGTGGTCGAATCCCACTAGATTGGCTTCGAGTTTTCTGCAGCTGTAACCAATGCTTTGAGAAATTAACTTCGGAACGAGAAAGCAAATTCGACAATTCTGTTACGTCGAGTATCAGCTACAATGATATTTCAGGAGAGAATGGATTATTCAAGTAAGAATTTAATTCACCATGTAAATAACGTACCAGTTTTATAATTCCGTTGCAGCTGTTTTTTTTTACATCCTAGCATAAAAAATACGATCCGTTAAATTATAGTTTGTGAGTAATTATCAATGTTATGAAATTGCCCATGAATTATAAAATTACTTCTTCAGTTTATTAGGTCGAATCCTCAACTCTGGTTTCTGTTTAATACACGATGTTCCAAATGACGATACACCTGGCCAGGTAAGATCTGGTATAAACGCCATTGCAAATATTTCATATATACTTCATAAACGGTGATTTCGTGAAAGTTCGTTTACATGTAGTATTAATTTCCCATATGTATAAACTATTATTATTTGAGCAATATGCGTGCATTTCAGATAAGTGATAGAATCGGACCCAAGTTTTATACGTTGTTCAGTGAGGTGAGTAAAAATAGCCGAATAATTGAATTTAAATATTTACAGACACTATTGATACCAACTATTGACAATAAACTGGTAGATATGTAATATGACTCGTTTTTTCTAATAATTTGCTTTTTCAAGAGATTATGTTGTGGTTTACATTTTTTGAAAGTCACCAAATTTAGATCATGACTTATCATGACATGATACTTATTAAATTCAAACCACTGACATCATCTATAATCAATGTCAATTGAGAAATTCATACCAATTACAAAATAGTTTAAAATTTGGTTTGTATCATTTTATTTGATATTAAATAGCTACAGCCCATGATAAAACTGTGTTGATAAAACTAGTTTCACTATTTTTTTCCTCTTTGTATACAGGGTGATCAGACCAAGTGAAGAAAATGTTCATTAAAAAATCTAAAATATAAATGTAAGAGAGAAAAAAAATAATTTTGCAGAAAATAGCATTTTAAAAATTAAGTCTTAGAATTCATTGTTATTTTTCGATATATCCTACGTTTGCCTTCACTACACGCCTCGATCTGTTTGAAACTTGACTGCACATGAAACGTATGGTTTGAAATTTTGTCCCAACAAGTCATCAATCTATGCTTTAGAGCAGTTGTCTTCAACCTGAGGTACGCGCACCACTAGTGGTACGCAAGCAGCTTTGAAATATTGCATCAATAAACTTTTGTATTCATTCGCTGAACAGCGTTTATAGCGCTTCCAATCCTTGTCTTTAGAGATCGCCCTCGCCGTTTCTGCCCACCAAAATCTGAACGGCTATGTTTTCGCCATATTACGTGTTATGTCACAATGCATCTGCAATAATATATCGGCAAATAAGGGAGCATTCGTAGCGGCTAGCACTGATCAAAGTGTATTCGTCCGAGATTTCGGATAATTCAGTATGGTTATGATAAGATGTATTGTGACGTAACGCAAAAAAATGGAAAAAGCTCCCCTTTTCGTTTTAGGTTAACAGTAACGGGCGAGAGCGATAAAAGACAAGAAATGGTAGTGCTATAAACGCCGTTTAGCGAATACAAAAGTCAATTGCTGCAATAATTCGAAACTGCTTTCGTACCGCTTGAAAAGCTCTCGTGCATAACTAGTGGTGCGCGTAACTCAGATTGAGAACAACTGCTCTAACTAAAGGCATAGATTGATGACTTGTTAGGACAAAATTTCAGAAGAAACCATACGTGCCTCGTGCAGTCGAGTTCAATTCAGATCGAGGCGTGTAGTGAAGGCAAAGAGAGCATATATCTGAAAATAACAATGAATTCTATTATTTATCTTTATATTGCTATTTTCTGCAAATTATTTTTTTCTCCCTTACATTTATATTGTAGATATTTTAATAAACATTTGTCTACACTTGGTCTTATCACCCTGTATATAGCATCTTATTTTTAATCATTGTAATGAATAGGTTTGTAAAGCCTAATTTCTAAAAATAACATGATCGACACGCATTCGATACATGCAGTCTAAAAATACCAATTAAATCCAAAAAAAAAACTTAGAAATAGAATCATAGATAGACAAGATGCGCAGGAATATCCATGTGGCTTTGTTCGTATTCCATTATCTGCATGAGCAAATTTGAATATTTCTAGACCTTTGGTAAGAATGGAAATCAAATTGGCGACGGGCCATTTCAAGATTATCCGTTTTATGAAGTTGTTCCAGGAGTTCAAATTATTTATCCGAAAAGGTAATATTGTATTAAAATATAAATTGTATAAGATACTTTATGCTACGTTTAAAAATAATCAGCGTCATTTTGAATTTATAAGAATATAAATGTTCAACGCCGTGAAAATCGGTTATCGCGTTTTGATTTTGAAAATTGGCTGTTCAGTATTCTCGAGTGGACTGTCAGTTTTACTTTCAATTCGATAACTGCATTAATCTATATGCATTACAGAACCGATGAAAAGAAGAGTTTCACAATTTTAACTGATCTGCTGAATGCCGCAGAAATTCTTCGCCGAGAATCGCCGGATCATTTTGATTCTCTTGTTAGGATTCCCGCGACTTTCCAGTACAAGAAAAGAACTGAATCTTGCAAACCTTTCTGGTTTGAGATTCAGAAGCCCCACATAGAAATTGATTACTTTGGGAAGGTGGGTTGCATTCAATATTCTTATATAATCTCATATTTTGGATTCATTCATAATTTTGGTAATAGCCAGAGAAGAAGGCTTATTTGTAAAAATGATACATACAAGTAATTTACCCGCGTAATTTACTAAAAACAATTCAAATTTAAAAATAGTTTAATTTGCTTTCTAGAATTCGATTTACCCAAAGCCAAAATCATAAGATGGTAAAAAGAAATCGACTGCAGCTGTAAAGCAATCTTACCAAATTAATTTTAACACTTCTATAACTGGTTGATATGCGAAAGAATTGCTCAATTTCTAAAACTATTCTCATATGCTATAATGCAACACCGCGTAATCATAACGATAGAGCCTAAAGATATCGCTTCAAAATTGATATTTTTTCAAGGTTGTTGCAGTGCACTGGAATCCAACAATGGAAGGAAAATTACGCATTCATCAAAAAGATGTGATGGCCTACTGCAAAGCCCATAACGCATTCGATCGGATTTTAAAGCAGAAGAGTTGTCAGGTATAATCACAGCGACAACAAATAAAAAGTAGCAATCTAATTAAAATATAAGCAATAAGGTTAACTCGTTTTTCGACCATACTTTCTAAACCTATGAAAGCATAGGAATATTTCACCATTTTGCCTATAGGAATTCGACTAAAATCAAGTCCAAAATAACCGAGGCGGTGGAATCATCCGCTTCCCGATTTCCAGTTACCTGTGTTGTCAGGAAAATTTGACGTTTTTATTTTAAATTTTGTTAATTGCCAAAACAGCACCGATTCACGAGTACAAATCTTTTTATTTCTCAAACCGGACGAACTTGGTTCTTCGTTTTGACTAAATACTACAATGTATATAAACCAAATGTTTCAGATTAGTTTGCAGTTAAGAGAAGGAACTATGCTGATATTCAATAACAAGCGGATGGCTCATAACCATAAAGGATACGACGAAAGTTCGATCAAGGTAAATTATGGAGCACTCTTTTTACGGTGTTCCCGGAGTATTCGCATCAAGATGGAGCACAACCTGAACATAGTATGTGTACAAGGTTAGGGATGTTTAATTACGTTGTGTGTCATCTTGGTACGAATACTTCCGTAGCGCCCTTTTTACTATGTATTTTGCTTCCTATAAAGTGGGCGGGGCGGCTGTTCAACCGATACTAGAGCTAGACGATACACTGTGCCAAAATTGTTCAAAAATTTTTTTATTCCCCGGGCAGATATAGGAAATATATGTGGCCAAGTCAATACATCGTTTTAACTAATTTATCAACTCTTGTTATCTTTTCCTCAGACCCTTCTTCATGCTGACGACGTAAAAAGCAAGTACGTCGTTCTTGGTCATAAACTAGGAAAGACTGCGATTCCAATGAAAATAGGGAACAGAAGCAGTTTTTAATGTCATAATCCAAAAAAAAATTTAAGCACCAGTGATTGGTACGTTATGATTATCATTTATGTCGCAACAATGTTCATCAATTCTAGTCTTATAGTTATGGGTCATTTCTGTAACCAGATTATGGGGTGATTGGAAGGGGGTCAAAGGTTCTAAAAAAGCAATTTTCATAATTTTGCACGATCGCGTGGATGCAATAAAATTATCAATGGCTTTACAGATTTGAAATGTATATCTACATCTTTCAATTATAACGCATTCACTTGAGTGAATTAGCTCTTTATAGTGGCGAAAATAACTCGTGGAAAACCACTCTGCAGACAAGAACTGTATCTGTACCCTCATCGATATTAGTCAAAATTTCATTGAGAATGTGTTGCTTTATTGGAAATTTCAGTTTGTTTACCTGAAATATTATGGGAATATAAGTAATATTTAAATAATACAATAATGCATTAACTGTATCAAATTTCGACTTGATTTTAAAACATATTTTATAGCCATAGGGTAATACATTGAAGAGAACTTTTATAAATGAAACAAACTGCTTTATTCAGTGTGTTCGCCTATGTTCTAGAAATAAAAATCAATAATTAATAATAAAGTTCGATTTGCATTGGATTATTTTTCAACAGAACGAGGTCATGACATTAAAAAGCATTCATCAACGTCACATTCAGGATAATCCTAGATTCGGATTCCTGACATTCATTCCAGAACGATTTTTATCGCTGAGAATTGTCATCTTTGGCAGAATTCTTCAAAAACAACCTACCCGGAAAAATTTTCCCAATATCTTATACTGATATTTTAGGGACGACAGCTCCTTTAGAATGTGTTGCACTTTGCGTCCCGGCCTGTGGTGTGTATGTATAATGATTTCCCCTTAATTGTGGAGGACCTGATCTATACAGATCAGAGTCTTGACGGCGCAGATGACGTCGCCTAGAATTAGCAGAATTATGATTGTGAAATGACCTAGGCCTAGAAGAGTCAGTTGTGCTGTTTGAAAGAGAATGTTGAATGTTCCTTGTTAAAAATTCATCCGGTAACTGAGACTTCAAATATGGTGATTTATTTCCACTTGTTAGTCGTCTGTATGGCTCACCTGAAATTCATTAAAAATAGAGGCACATGATATATATATATATGTAGACTAAAATAATCTAGTCACGAAGCGGTCAGATTTGATTTTTATCGAGATGATGAATATGTACCTCAAATATATATGTTAAAAGTATTTCTGTGTGATATATTAGCTAATATATTTTATAGTATATGCTTGAAAGCAATCAAGGTATCGAATTATGAAATAAGTTCAACTCAGCAAAGGAAAGTGAATTTTTTATAAAATATGTTCATTTCCACTAGTTTTCACTTTTTCTTTCACCAAAAGACGCAGTAAAAAGGTTCTTAACTTGAAAATTCCTTGTACATTTCTTGAGATATGCTATATGAAAATGTTGAAAACAACATAATTTGGCGGACCATGTGTACCTTTAGACGCGCCCGCAACCGGTACATACCCATTTGCTTGTGTGCACTTTTTTCTTGCTTTTGCTCTTGAGTTCTTTGGCCATGCGCTGATTTCCTTCTAGAATTTAGTGGCAATCTTGCACTGAGACCTAAAAAGTTTTTATTACGTAAGTAATGATCTGGTATCATACAAACAAAATTGAATTTGCTCCAATGCTTTGTTGGGCACGATCATGCTTTGGCCTTAGGACGTTATATCCCATGTGACCGTGACCCCGTGATACATTGACCCAGTGCCAATTGTAGACGCAAACTATTGAATTTAACCATTATAAATACTTATAATTTTGATGACATACCGCATGACTACGCCACACTAAGGCTCGTAAAGTTGCATTAATCGTGATTTTGTAGTCAGCTAAAAGGCAATAAGTCTAAAGACAGATTGCTATATATGGTATTACAAAATCTCAATTTTCAGATATATAAGTCTACTATATTTATCTCTACACAGACTGAATCGCGTGTAGTTTGGCATAGGGCATCTGCGATGGTTAAGGCCTGCCCCGGTCAAGATTTCCCCTCAATATCTAGGTTAAATTCAATACCACACAACCACAATATGTTTATAATAATATAGCCTTTCTTACCCAGCATGTTAACAGTTGTTACTGATTCCGTAGTTCCTGGTCGACTGTTGTCAGATGTCGATAAATTAAGAACTGATGAAGCCAAGCGTCCACTGCTTAGCCTTCCACTCGATAAAGAATCGCGAACATGACTTTGTTGTCGAGTAAAAATTTCGGGAATTTTACCCCGTGTATTACTATGTAGATATCTGACAAATGGTTGTGATCCTTCATTGAGATATTTCTGCAGATGAAAATAATTCCGAAAGTAGTGACAGTATTGTTTATTATAAAATGTATTTATAAATATATATGGGATAAGTGATAGAAAACAAACCAGCTCTCCAATAACCTACTATACAGATTCTAAATTCTATACATAACTAGCAATTACTTGCCGTGTTTTCACGAAAATAAGACAGGGTCTCATTTTAATTTTTTATCGAAAAATAACACTAGGGCTTATCTTTTATTTTCATTTATCAAAACCAAAATAACAAAGTAGAGAATTACGAGATTTTCAAATATACAAATATGAAAACCTATATACATTTACTAATAAATAACTCGTTATTATTTAAAAAAATAACAGCTAAACATAGATTATTCAAAAATTACCATATCATCGTCCTCTCTCACACGTTTTAGATCGATCATTTGAAACGTGATTTAAAAGTGAAACGAGATTTCTTGCTAACTTATTTTAAGGGCTTATTTTAAAATTGTTTTCAAAATTCAGGCTAGGTGATATTTTTGGGGAAACACCGTATCATTTTACTTATTGACCGGGTATAACAGGTAATTTCAATTTACCTCCGAGAAAACTTTAGGTTCTTGAGATAGAGTTGGTCCCAGGTCTGCTGCTAATCTTGAATCCAGAGAATCAACATCTAAATTAAAAAAATTAAATCGTTTTGTGAAAATTTAAATTGATATAAAATATAAAACAAATTCGGACCTCCGGAAGTATGCGCACCAAGATGGCGCACAGCCTGAACTCAGGTTGTGTACAAAGTTGGGGTTCAGGTTGTGCGACATATTGGTGCGCATACTTCAGGAGTAAATTCGATCCTACCTTCTGATCTCTCTCGCAAAGAGTCAGAAAACGGCTTCGCGGCAGGCATCATGTCATTTATGGATGATGTATACGCCATATGAGCTTGTTGAAGTGCTTTCCTAGCGTTGAGGGATAATTTCGAAAACGCCTCACTTCCTCCAGAAGTATTGGAATCTAGATAAAATTATAGTTTTTTCAATTTGGTCAAGATTAAAAAAAGGGTAGTACATATGTTTCAGTTTGTGTCGAAAAAAGATAGAACTGCAATTTTGTGACGTAATCTTCTGTATTTGTTGATTTTAGCTTCACTTTGATGGAATTCTTTCGTTTTGCTATTTGTCTAGTGAATTCCTATTACAAAACGACTGTTGAATCGAAATTGGATTCAAATTTAGTTACAATTTAAAGAAATTAGATACAGAAAGTTCGGTGTTACCGCGAGATGATTCTGCTCTGCGTTGTATTTGTCGTGATGTCGTAGCATACTTTGCATCCTCTTCACGATGATGACGCAGCCCATTTCGTTTGCTATAAAACCTCATGCTTCCTTTATTTATTCCCGAAGATCGCATCACTTCTGCAACTTGTCGTGGAGTGAAAGGCTGTTGACTGGCAGTCCCAGGCTTATTCAACATCATAATTGGCAATGACGAAGATATGATGTCGTCCTTCATTTTCAAATCATTTTTGAGAGTCACTGATGAAGGTTCCGATTCTGTGACACTGCCTCCGTAACCAGATGATATTCTGGAAACCTCGTCGCTACCAGGAGCCATTCTATGTCCGTGGGACGATGCTCCTCGGACATATGGTTTAGGTTGTGGAAGGCGATCGGTATCCAAGGTCTGAACCTAAGACATGGACATTTTATATACGGTGCTTTCACGCCCTTAATTCCAACGCAGCTGTACTAGTAATGCATAAGGATCTGCAATTTTAGGATGAACGGGTCCTTTCTGTTTCAGCACTGCGTACGCCAGGGGTCTCCAACTCAAAACATGTCGCGGGCCACTTTTTGAAATTTATTCACCACGCGGGCCGCAAGCCAATAAATTAGGTACGAAAGAGGGTATCTGAATGTAATGTGTTGATATTACACTTGAAACCTACAGCAAATAAGACATGAAACATATTCATTTACTTGTGCTGGATATTTGGTCTCGATGTTTGGCCTTATTTTGCGTTGGTTTGATATTCTTAAGACAACATGAGTAGCTCGTCCGTTAGTCGTGTGCGGAGGACTGACTTTCATAGTTGAAAAAAAAAACTGCTCGCAAATATAAGAACTGCCAAACATCGCAGGTATGCGACGTGAATGTGTAATTAGCTTTGCAAACCTCTTTTCGGCACAATGGACTGAACGAAACTCGTTTATTTTGTCACAATGAACATACAAAATGAAATTATTGCATTTATAATTGAATTATACCAATGAAATAAAACATGAACATGGATAACAGGGAGAAATTTTTGCTTCACTTTATACAGTTTGTCGGACCGGACTCTTGTTGATAAATGACACGATATAAAACTTACTAATAGTGACATTAGTTTTTTTGTGGAAAAATCCCAACCATAACGCGGGCCGCAAAAAAATGCCTGGCGGGCCGCATGCGGCCCGCGTGTTGGAGACCCCTGGCGTACGCGATATACCTAAGTAAAACATTCTAATCGGTATAATAAATAAATAAATGAACCAGACACTGCAAAACACGACATATACATAGCAAACCTTCGGGAAATGTCGGTAGTCTTCCGTTCCCGAATCTGATTCACTCTCCTCTTCATTTCGTCCAATGTTTTGTTGCATCAATCTAGCAAATAAAATCCATATATTAGTTTAATAGTATTAGTATTTAATCCATTCAGCATTATTTGTCATGTTCCCCATTGTATAATGGTAATGCATTATCCAATAAATGCTAATACATTTTATACAATTAAGCTTTATCATGTTCATATACTTCTGGCTTCTTTACTACACATACATAAAAAAGGTAGAACCCGAAACACCCCGTGACTTATTGTGTTTGCTTTTAGTTAGGTACTACAGTGATGCACACCAATCAGCTTCATTAATGTACATTTCAATGCTAATAAACAATCACTCAAAAGTGTCTCAACACCCCGCTAAATCGAAGCGCAATATACCAGCAAGAAACCCAAGGGGTATCAAATTGAATTTTATTCAAATGACTCCGAGGACATGTGTAACTCTTGACTGACATTACAAAATTGAACTTTTAGATACGCGCTGTTCATTTTGAGTATTGCTTATTCTCATGTCGATTTGTTCAAGAAAATCAAACGAAATCAACCTCTCTTGTTTCATTTGTGCTTCGTTGTATTTCATATTTCCACTTAACAATTGTTGACGGCGAATTCTTCTTTCGTGATCAAGGTATTGCTTCAATTGTTGTTGCCTAAATATCATGGATTCGTCATGGATCATGAATTGGAAGTTTACCCTTATCCACAGACCAACCGCCATATTTTTTCATAACCCTATCCTATAATTAAGACAATTGGTATTTAGGCAATTTGTGTTATAATAAATAATAATGTTTGCAATATCGTGCATTAGAAACAAATCAAAGTTTAATTTGACAACTTATATCTATTGCTGGCAATTGTTCTAATTTTTACGTTTAAACACGGCAATATATGGCTCATGCCGGAGCAAAATCATGTTCAAGCTTGCCTCACGTTGTTGACTATCCGCACCAACTTGGATACCCTAATCGAGTGGAGTATTCACAAATGTATATTCGAGTGGAGTACTTGAACTTGTTAGAACATTAATGTCGTTATTAACTTTTAAAAGGAATCTATCGTGACGTAGTCTTGGTAAGTGAAGAGATACTATTTTTACTAATTGCAAAGTAGAAAGATACTAACTAATCTAATGAATTTCGTGAGATGAGAATGAAAAGTAAAATTTATTTACCTTCGGAATAAAGAAAGATTATGAAAAAAGCATTCAATATTTTCTGAACAGTCTGTCGGAGCAACTAAGTCTCTAACCTTATTTTCTTACCTACTGTTCCAATATAACTCATAAGACCCACCTTGTGTAAAAAGCAACATATTGTTCAGGTGACATTGAGTTCGCCCTCATTTGCGTTCGAGGATCGTCGAATTGTCGACGGTATTCACGAGATGGATAGTATGAACTATGTGGAGTTCGCGGTGGCGAAGGAATCCTTCTGTGGTGTGGAGGTCGAACATAACGGCGCTCGTGATCTGTAACCCCTAATTTTTGATTCATATATGCTCTTCCTCTAGCTTGTTGTGTCATCAATTTTTGAACCTATTTGAAGAAAAAGCAATCTTTATCTTAGAGTATACCAAATTACATCAGTTGTTTACCTTAGTTCATACTCTTGCATTCATATCATTGTTCAAACAGTATAAATGTTATTAAACACTTTAAAGTCAATAAGCCGAAAATAACAAAATTTTAATGATTTTTATTCGAGATCATCCAATAAAACAAGTACAATTGCTTATACTAGGTCCATATGCATTGCATACGCAACTTGCAATAACATATGTTACCTATATGATTGAGATATTGCTTTTGAATATATACCGATTTGAGTGAGTAAAATAACATACTCTGAAATACTCATATTCATAATATTTAGAAATTTTAATCCCGGCGTTTTTACCAGAATGCTGATAAAAAAAAGTAGTGAGTACCTGTTTTAGATCAAACGAATCACGTCTATCCCGTCGGCTTCCGCTCCCTGTAGGAATATCTCGTCTGATTAGGCGAAAGGGAACACTCGGACCTTGGAGCTGAGAAAATATATGTATGATGCATATGAATAACTACAAACTGAATTTGGGGTATGTAAGAAATGTTTTATAATCTTTTACACAAATTGTGTTACCCTAATCAGAATAAATTGTTTGACGCCTAACATATCACAATAATTTCAAACTAAAATATATATAATCAAATATCTTTTTGGACACGGAGTGGACCTATGGATCGTTATGTTAATGATATTAAGTTGTTGTTGATCTTGTTAGTATTTTTCTTGTTCTTGTGAAAAAAATTCTCTTTTGAAATTTTCAGTGTTTGAAGATATTTGTTGTCGCTAGTAAGCTATTACTTTTATTTATTTCCAAAATTTCTGTGGACCAAATGGGATTCGTTCCTTTGTGTGCAATGACCCCATCAAAAAGAAATATACGCACAGTGCCGTGGTTCCGTGATCGCATCTCACTGATCTGACTACCGGTAGCCTACTATAAAAAGATTTAATAATACTTCGTTTTGGCCTTTGTGTCCATATATTTGAGAATTATTACTGTTATTACTATAGAATAGCTACGCTCAGAAACTGATGAACATACGAAAATAATCAAAGTGACAGTAAACCTGTCTAGTTTTGGTCGTGAATTCCATTTCACCGCTTGAATCTTGTGAGGTGATGAAGTCATCGTCGACTTCGTTTGAGTATTCGCTGAATAGGTCTTCATCTTTTTCACTGCCTTCAAATCCACTATAATCACTGAACTCTGAGATCACAGAAGTCGTCGTGGGATCGTATTGGTCTCGCGGTACAAAATGAACCTCGATGTCCATGTCAAATTGCACTGGAAATATTATTTACAATAAAACGTTGTGAAAGTTTTATTCAAACAAAATTCCTCTGAAATTAATTTTATTTCTTATAGACGCGTTGCTGCAGCACACGCTGGCAATGGACTAAAATATCGGTATTGATTTGGTTGTGAAAAAAATGGCAAGGCATTTGTATCATTTCCAGTAAACATGAATAGGAGAGAGCATATTCTACAATACGAAGTTTTGAAAAAACCTAGTTGGCATAGGACATATCTACAGTCGTATCACTTTTTTCGTAGATAATGACGCTGTACCAGATCTATGAATAATTTTAATAGCATTTTTAAAGTCTATTCCAATCGCACTCAATACGGCAGATGCAATTGTGAACTGATTTTGTTCTCATTTGTCGAAGTTCCCATTGGAAATGGTGTCTAAAATGACTCGTGAATTATTATCTCATTGGTCCAAAATGAACAAGTGCTCGAAACATATTCGAAACATGGGCGGAATAAAAAACCGAAGAAAAATATTATAATTAGGAAAAGTAAAACGTTCACTCGATAAAGTGTGACATAGGCTACTTCATTTTATATTTATATTATTTATATATTCGCAACAGAAACCGCCTTGGAATGCAAGGGAGGTTTTCCGGTTGTCATGTCCAGTATTTTCGTGTATTTTTGATTACGATATAAGCTTTGGTGTTTATTATTTAAGTAGATATACAGTATTTGTCCGTTGAATAGGTATTGTTTAATGTCATTCAGCATCCATGCTATTAGGTAAGGCAATATTATTCTACATTTGAGTCAACTTCTGCGACGCAGACCGCAATAAAAACACTTCGGCTACGCATAAAATACCCCATTGGAGAGCTGTATTTAAAATAGAATCGCCGAAAGATTGACCGACTTAATAAGGTATTTTCTAACAAAACATGGCATTGAGAAATAGACTCACATGAAAGAGGCGTCAATTCGTTTGTGTTATAATGATAGCTGTTTCTTAAAATAGTACTACGGTGAATGGACTACAATAGACAAAACAAAATCATTATGTTGAGTACCGCTATGTCCGCTGATTTATTTTATCGGCACCGACAACAAAACCAACATAGTCAAAGTATGGATTACGAAATGTAATCACAATATATTTTGTATGAATTGGAATCGGCCTGAATAGCGTTCAGCCATTAACAAAGTGCAATGTTAATGCTGACAAATAAAATATTCTGGCAAGTGTTCGACGGGGACACCTGATCACGGACCTGATAATGGTAGATGAAAAAACAATTGATCTAATCTAAAAACAACGTCTGGAATTTATAGAAACCTATAGCAATAATGCTGCACCAATCTTATATGTCATAAAATATTAAGTTGTTGTTTTGCAAGGTAGGATTTGACTTGGTTTCGAACATATAAATGTTTTAAAGTGAATACCAAATGTGAAGTTGAAGAAGACGGAATGTTTTTTTATAACTTTGTAACAAATATGAAACAATTTCCTTTACACAATATATTGGATAATCGATGGCTTATATACTCGTAACGTACAGATTTTCGGGCAGTGAGGATAATGGGCTTTAATGCAGCCCGTTAACAATTGTATTTGTTAAAAGTAAATCACTTCTTGACGTGCCGTAATATTTAAATAATATATATACTTAAACATGACATATACCTTTATGCTTTTTCCCACTTCCACTTCTACTCAAACTACGTTTCTTAAGAGCAGATGGTGGAGGAATTTGCAGCATCGCTGAAGAATCGGGAGTTCTTGACATGGCGTTTTCTTCCCGGCCGGACAGAATAGCGCAATCCGGCGGATAATAGCTAGGATTTACACGGTCGGAAATAACGACATCGACACAGTTTCTATTTTCCTTTGGAATTGTATCGAAATTAGTTTCTATAGATCCATTTTCTTTAATGGTTTCAGTCGAGTTCCCAATGCATTGCGATGGAACCGACAACACTGGTTCATGGCGCGTATTATGTTCCACCTCTGTCATTAGTTCCGGCATGGGTTCGGCTGTTACGTTTTCAACCAAATTTTCGGTAAGTTGAACAGGATCTTTTGTAATGCATGGAAATATGGGTTCCAAGTTGTCCGATAAAACGAATATTTCTGTATAACCAGCACTTTCCTCTCCTGAGTTCAAACTATCTGTTGAAAAGGAAGATGAAGGATATTCAGATGAAAAATCTTGATATGATAATTTACGATCAGATACCGCTAATAAATCATCAGTCTCATCTGATGAACATCTTTCTGAATAATTATCTTCATTAATCTTTTGTAGTGCAAATTGTTCTCTTGATAAGTTGTCGTAATTACAGCTGCTTACAGTATCTTGTTCTGTTTTATTCCCAACGCCTTCAGTCGTCTCAAGTTTCTTTATTCGCTTCGATAGGACTGGGGATCTTATTGTCCCGATCAACATTGTTTTTTCTCGCACAATTCCCACATCATCATAATACCAATTTTCGACATTGTCTTTATTATTTACGAGGGCTCCATTGTTCGGCCCCTGACAACACGAAGGTGTCTTAACCTCGCTTAACCGCACTGACTCTGTGAACGTCATGCATTCTGAAGTGACGTCACAATTACGATCAATACTGTTTGAGCGAGGTAGAGGTGATACTTCAACGCGCTTCCACGGCGTAGGAACTCTTATTTGTTGAAGGCCATGTTCTTTTTGTACGTCATCGCCGAGATTTAACACGAAAGATAGCTCTGCTTCGATGTTTAATCCCATCTTATTTAAACGAGTATCATCATCGTCACTAGAAAACTCAGAGTCTTTCTCTTTGTGATTTCCAGAGGAATTCTTCCTGATTAAAACGTATTCATTGTTCCTTGAATCGCTATCAGGACGACTTTTGAAAACAAATCTTCGCCTTACTTTCCCAGTTTCCCCTGTAAAATATTTATTTGAGAGGTACTTTGAGACATACCAAAGATTATTTTGGATATGGAGATAGTATACTATTTACTTACACAATGCGGTAAGCAGCAAAAAAAAACGAAAGCAAGTAGGCCTAATGTAAGTTTCACTAATGCCTGAGTTGGAGCATTGAGAATTGCCAAATTCGTGAAATTCGCTAGTGCGAACATGGGGTTGCCATAAAGTGAAACACCTTTTGATGTACTGTATCAACATGGACTCAGAGTGAGAAAACTTCATTGGGGAAAGAAGTAAAACAAATCGCTCATATATACTAAACTGTCCACCTATTAACGGTTTGGTCCGGGTTTCAATCTTCGAAGACTCATGTAAACTAATTTTCCGCCACAATTGCGTCACATCATGTAGGCTATGTAACATAATCTATTCTAGTCTAATGGGCTTCATCAACCCTCAATTCAGAAAAATACTTTTATATATTCCAAAAATTTTCAGAATTCTGTTTCAAAATATTCATGTAACTTTGAATAAAAAGTGGGCTGATTTTAGCATAGTTCATCCGGGTTTTTCGAAGACAGCGACTAAAATACGGAAGCAAAGATGGCTGCTTAGTTACTAATTTTTACTTAATTTCGAAAATTTAGAGAAAAAAAGACGAAAACGAGTCAATGGCCATAACCATGCTCGAAATTACGTTCGAGTAAAAAAGTTGGCTGGTTATATATATATAACTTATATGTCTTTTATGTCAAGGTTTACTTGTTACTGAGAAGTAATTTTTACGAGTAGAACAAGGAGATCGATGCTTTCATCCTTTGAAGTTTATGAATAATATACTACCTGCAGATTTCGCTCTAGTTAATTTGTGCTGAGCATATGAATCTTGACGTAATAAGACGTTGGAGGTTTTCGGTCGCATTTCGAATGGCCTTCCAGATTTATGATCTTTCTTGTATTGGAACTCGAGTTTTCGTGTCTTTTCATACTGCTGATACACGGCTGAATCCTCAGGCCAGTTATTCTTACAATTCATTTTAGTTTTCATGCTCTCCATACAAATATAGTCGATATTTATCCAATGGTTCGTAATTTATATCTAACGTGACTCGTAGCACAACTCAGCAAATTGAATAACATGACTCTCATTTGTGCAAAGGATTAAAATTATCGTCACTAATTGGTACTCTACTCAGTTAAACTTGTATGAACACTACAGTGTTCCAAAGTCAAGTACAATATGGATCAAACAGAATATATATTCGGTTGTCATTAAATGCAAGCACTCGGTCAAAATGTATTCATGACGTAACTGAAGTGCACTCAGATTTTAGTGTGATGCGAATAAAATCGATATTAAAATGATACTCTCAAGTGATGAAACGCTAAGCAGAATCGGTACTTATAATTCAAGCAGTGAGTCGAAAGTGTACTTCATGTATAGATGGAAATAAACTGTTAAAATTAACCATTTTACAACCGATTGGTGGCGTGAATTTGCCCTATCCGAAGGTGGGGCACTCCTCACAGGCATACAAAAACGTTACCAAAATATATTATTATCAATTTTTAGAACGACACGATTAAGGTGCCAACGACGCAGGGGAATGTGGCTAAACCAATCGGAACCGCAAGCCTGCTTGAAGACACTTTAGTTGATTAAGACAACCACCACCTAAAAAAGATGATTATTTAAACTAGTGGTGCCGCGGCACACCAGCGTAAGGCAATCGTCTTCAGTCTGATTAAATATAGAATTAACTATTATCTATCCAAAGTTTGGATAAGTATTCACTGTCGTTTATTACTTCGTATTCAGTTTTATTGAAGAACAATAAATTCTTTGTTTACTCAAGATTCCGTTTGATGAAAAAATACGGAGAAATAGCGCGAAAAAGCGAATTCGCACAAACAAAAAAGACAGGGACGGGGATCACCAACCAGTAATTGCTTCCCCATAGCGGCTAGGAAAAGTTTTAGCAATCTGCTTTCCAATCTTATTCAATGACGGTTTTACAGTCATCAAAATAATGTTATTCACATGTTTGTGCTGTGGTACCAAAATGCCTTGCCCCTTCGATTTTCAACATGTTTTTTGAAAAGCGATTCTGAGGCATTTATAGTGGGGGACAAACTTTTTCTATTTTTTAAAACACACGAAATTGCGCGCATGTATATCTTCGACAGCGAAGTATGTCTGTGTTGAATTTCTTTGTGGTATACTAAGCCTATACTATAGTATGTTTACATATTGCACCAATGAATCATTCTTTTTTACAAAAACATAAACGGGTATTTATGTCACCTCCCCAATACTAAAATATAGAGATTTGATGGGATTCCTGATGGGCGTTGCTGTTATTTTTTTTTATTACTTTGTACTCTTTAAGATATCGTTAATATCAGCGGTGGATTGTTGGGAGTGAAAGCATCCCCAAATTTGGGGCTGGAGTGTACCAGCAATTTGTGTCGCAGGCTTACTTATGCGAAAGGTCGCACTTGGGTATTCGTGACAAAAACTATGCCTTAATATTAAACGATTTTCATTCATAAGCTTTAATAGAAAAATATAAGACAGCTACAAATAAATATTACATCGTAAAATATACAAATAAAATTTACAATCAAACCCTGTGTAAACTAAGATACAAATAGAGAAGCACAAAATGAAATAAAAACCTACATGGGGTCGTTAGGCTACATCTCTGTTGCGTCGCCATCGACAAAGATTGACGTCACATTTGTGTATATTGCGGGATCACAGGTTTTGTATTATTAGACATCACAATTGTAAATCGGCTACTTTGTTGGACCTCAATTATGTCTTAAATAGAATATGACGTTGTCAAAAATATACACAATACTTGATGATTCGGTTGTGAACAGAGAAAACACATGACTAATGTTTTAAAAACTTTCCAATTATTGCAAAATGGTAAATAATTTGCTCTTGTATTCTAGCTTACTAATATTATTGAGATACTAATTAGTCCTTTAAGCACTAATGTCATTAAGACATTTAACCCACAAAAAAAGTTTTCACACTAATATTAAAATACCAACTAGCAAAAATGTTGAATCTGGGTAAATCAAGACATTATAAATTACTACCTGAAAAAGGTATTTTGAAGAAGAAAGCAGCTCACTACCTAACATACTCTAAAAAAATTGAAACCTACAATTTTTGAAAACTAAAACAAGTTCTTGCTTTAATGATTGGTTGATACAAAATAGCAGCATCTATCTCATTTAAAATATGAAAAGTCTTATCATGTAGAGTCCTACACTCTGATTACCTTGTAGAATTCAAAATATAGAGTTGGGTAGCTGATACTTGAAATTCATCATATCACAGCATAAAATATTTCTCAGTTTTCAGTGGCAATTACTTTCCACAATAATAATTCAGTACCAGAAGCTGTAAGGAGAAGTTTTCCATCTGGTGAAAATTTCACATGATTGATGGGTCCGAAATGTCCACAGAAATCTTGGAATGTACCGTGACAGGCATCGACAAGTTCAACTATTCTTGATTCGGTACCAAGTGCTAGTAATTGAACGTTGGTTTTACGAGTTCCTTCACTAGAGATTGAGTTACATGCATCCAAACATTGTGTCCAGTTCGGTATTGAAAAAGTTTTCACAACCTTAAAATATATTAGAAGATTATTGATCAAAAAGTATCGCATATGCCAGTGGTTCTCAACACTTCCGCCCTCTGCATTTCTACGAAGATACCTAGTTTTGCTTTTAACACGCTCCCATTCGTTATTGTAAGCACCTGGTCTATAGTTGATAATAAAATAAAAACGAAGCAAAGGATTCAATGCGGTCAAAGAATTGGAATCACAGTCAATTTGCTTTAAAGTAATGTGCAGAAGGCACTTAGTGAATTCCTTTTCTCATGGCCCCCAGACATCTGCTGCACGGCTACCTGGGGAGCCAAGAGCAGAGTTTGTGAAATCCTGACTATATGGCATCAGCCATCAACTATGAACAATATAGTGACAAAGATACTTTGCTATATGAAAAAAAAAGGAATTCCTTATTATCACAGTATATAAGAAGCAAGAACAAAATGAAAGAAATACCTTCAGATTTTATCATCACAGTTAAAATGTTAACTTCTGAAATAAATTGAGAAAAGGCATATATAGACATTTACACAGTAATGAATTCACCTTTCTTTTAGCCAAGCTATAAAGTTGTACGAACTTTTCCATTCCATACCCTGTGTATACCAGTAAATCAGGATTTGATGGATGAAATATGCAACAGCTGGGTGGAAGAAGAGATACTGAGGACTGAAACAACAACTTAAATGTATTGGTTTGTTATTGAAATAAAGAGGATTACAGTATGGAGATTTTATGATAACAGTTGCATTACAAAATTTAGATATTGCAGTCAAATTCTACATACACTAATAGTGAATATTGTTTTGTAAAGTATAACGCCATATCCAATAAATAAGAATCACATTCACAAACAGAAGTTGTTATTGACTGTAATATAAATGCAGAACTGTGGACCAAATTTTCCGAACAACAGACTTTTCCAACCACGAGGTGGCATAGGACGGTTTAGGTTATGATTCAGTCATCTTGGGAGTTGTGTAAAAATAACATTACACAAATATCATGCGAATTTATAGAGTAATTTCTCAACATTTATTTACCACAGTAACTATGCCCAAATGTCCTATTAATCTGCATGTATTTGTATATTATTATTTTAAACATCTCTTAATGCGACTGAAAATTAAACTCATAACTAAAACAGTCTTATGATTGGAAAAATTCAAAAATTCCACAAACAATCTAAACGCTTCACATAAACGAAAGTACCAAGTTAACCCTTGTCAATCCAAGTCATAAGTTCAAGCTCTTATTGAATGGCAAATCATTTTTAAAACTTACTTTGTCATTCCTACTAATCTCAGTCCCATCTGGAGCAAAACATGGAGCTGGAAAAGTCAACCAATCAACCATGTCACATTGGTCAGAGTTCCAACAACTAACCCACACACTGACTCTTCTGTTAGCCGCAGTAGCGAGCCACACAGATGAAGTTGAAAACGACCCATCTCTCCTCGAGTCTTTTTCAGTCAAATGGGCTGAAATTGAGGCTGGGTGATCCTTGAGTACAAAGTTCAACATTATTTATTAACTGTATGTAAGGTATAGTAGGGGTAATTGCTACAGTTTCTGTAGGTACAAGGCAAAGGATAGGAATTAATACCTTGACAGAACAATTCAACATACGATCTTGAGATAGACATAACCATTTTATTCTACAGTCATTAGCTCTATTCACCAACAAAAAAGGTGCTGCACTTCCACAAATTCTATTCCATAATGTTTCATCTGATTAATACGACCATTCTCTCTCCATTCACTCTAAACATTGCTCTGCACATGCAGTCACTTATATGTTAAAGAAAGGCAGCAATCTTCCCAGTTATACATTAGCTCACCTAATTTACTACACCCTGGTTAGGTGTTTGGCATGGGATTTGAACTATAGATCTTTTAACTGTGAGATCATAGTTAAAAGAATTTAATTGCTGCCACACTGTCCTTGCAATCAGTTCATACGAATCCTCTAATAAAAAAGCAGAGATAAAGTAGAAGTAGCAGGACCCTCCAATCAGCCATATACATTATGAATGAAATATGTAAAAATTTTCAGTCCAACAAACCTGTCTAGTTGAAACAGTCAATTGTGTAATAGGTGATCCCAAATGATCATCCAACACACGTAAAGTAACACCAGTTGACAATGATGTGATGGCTATCCTTCCACTGTGACTACCAGACAACAATGTACAATTGTCGGATGAAAATGCAATCGCCGTTACTTTGGTTGAATGTGGCTGCAGTTTCAACATCAGGATCAGCTGCAAAATGAGAGGGATTTATTTATATGAGAACATAGAATTTCCAATAATAATAATAATAAATAATTTTTCATTAAGCAATGTAATATGTTACTTAAGTTGGATCAAGTCACCATCACCTCAACAGACCCCCGAGTGATTCTACTCAACATCAGACTTGGATGGCCAGTGACTCAAGTAGAGTCATGGTTTAAAGCTAGGTTCTCGATTTGACTCTAACTGGGCCCTAATTGAGGTATTTTTATATAAAAGCAGTGGGCCACAAGACTCGAGTGTTTGAGAAACGGCCACGGATCATGATGGTTTGAGAACCACTGGTTTTAAAGGACTTGTACCAAACACTATGTAGCCATAATGGAAGTATTCCTATTAGACCCAGACAGGTTATAATGAGCATTTCACACAAGTTTACCCCCATTAGAAAATAGAAAGGTATATTTATGGTATTAAACAACAGATCGCAATGTGTTCAATTTGAAAAATGGTAAAATAGGCATTTTGTCCACCTAAACAAGTAGAATATTGAAGTGCGAATCCTGCATGCTAGAATAAGTGAGAGCAACCTAGGACACCACCCGTAAATTCCAAAATCGATTCTGGTAATACAAATTTCCTATCAGGTATATGTATATATCAAATGTACCAAATTACCTTTTAGTCTGATTAAAATCATTTATTATCTATAAATACAATACCAATTACCTTGTCGACGTCAAACACTCTTAATGTTCCATCACCATAGCCAGCTGCCAACATTTTATTAGCTGGAGGAATAATATCAGGTTGTGTGTCTTTATTTGACAAATCTTCCAATGATTGAGCATGGCTAAAGATGACACAGCCACAAGGTTGATCAATTACCTTGAATAACAAGAAAAAAGGGTACAAGGTAACGAGAGTACTTCTAGTATGATAAGTACATTTCGCACAATCTGTTAATTTGCTGCAAATTTCTATAATACTGAGAATTGCAATATTATCCCATTATGCTCTTGTAGCTACTATGCTGCATCTACCTCATAAAAAGTACTATTAGGTAAAATTCAAAAGTTAGTGTTTTTACACTAATATAAAAATACCAATTCCATGAATTTGGTGGATTCTTGAAAATGAACAAAATATAGTTCCCAATTCCCATTGATATTTAATTTCATTTAGAGCTCACACATCATGACCAGAGGAAGTAGTAGTAGATGCTAGTTAGAAGTGGATTATTAGTGACTTTCTGGGACAATTGTACAATTACTTTATTGCAACAATTTCAAAATTATCATTCAATTTTTTTTAACATTTATCTACTGACCCTGCAAATTGGACGGACACATTTTTTATGTTTCATTACAGATACAATTACTTATAGGGTGTGAGAGATTACCCCACCAAAAAGTCTGGGCAAAACTATAAGCACGACTAGTTACTGCTATAAAACAAATTTGCCACTGATTACGACTGGTATAACATATTCTGATTTCTGTTCCATTCGAACAATTTTTTCGACAAAATTCCGAATTTAAAATACCTGGAATTGTACAGTGAGTTCCAATGTTTTAACAGACCATAATCTTACTGAGCCTTCTTCACTGCATGTTGCATAATACTGGCCATCATCAAATGTTATACCATTGATCTGAGACAAATATTAAAAATGATTTTAAAAACTTCAGTCAATCAAACTCATTAATTTAACATGTCAGGTTAGATGCCTCACAAACAGGCAGATCAATTTCAAATGTGTTTCAAATTCAAAGCTTGCTCCATATGCTAAAATGCTACCAAGGCTGATGAGCTAGTATGACATTTGGGCTCAGGATCCAACTGCTCCAAAGCCGTTTATGTTTTTAGTAAATATAATGAACTGGAATGAAACATTACTCTGTAACAAGTATGGGAATATTATAAAAGTTTAAAAAAAATGGAGCTGCCAAAATCTCCAGTACTTCTGGCTTAAACTTCACAGAAAAACACAGCTTCGTACTCTGGTTTCCCAGAAACTATCGCATTTTAATACAGAGAATGAAGATCACGCAAATTCAACTCACTTTAGCCTTATGACCAGTTACCATCCGAACAGTATTGTGACTATTCCAATCAACATACCACAATGTACCAGCTGTGGTACTCACAATACCAAGATCAAGCGTTTCATCAAATACAGCTGAAGTTATCTGATATATGAAGAAAAAAATTTCCAGATTAAAATATGTGAAAGACGCAAATATATATTTATAGATATTCTTCTTATTTACTTCATGAATTATACGAAATATTGTGATATATTTTTTCATACAATATTTTCATGCCTTCACTCTAAACAAGGATCTGTAGAAGCAGTCACTGATATGTAAAAAACTACAATTTTTGAAAAAACCCATGTCTTATCGATTTGGCGTTGTCTTTCCAATTTATTACACTTCGCTGGAAGTGGTTTTGAACCTGTGACGCCAACATAGAACTTATTTAGTAACATGTGCGCTCATAGCTAATGGAACTAATTCACTCTTTACATAATCATAAAATTTTTATTGAACGGAATCTTTTTAACAGGATTTTACAGCTTCAAACCACCACTCTTCAAAGCACAGATCAATGGATGTTTTGTTGACTCATGAGACCAGTAAAATTCTCCTTTTAGCTTTTTCGTTTACAGAATTTTTCATGCTTATTTTGAGAGTATTTACAACAGTTGGTGCTTACAAACTGGTTTACTTGTTTCATAATATCATTTTGATTCAAAATATTCAACTGCATGCCCTTTAAATAAACTGATAGAGTATACAAAATGACCAACAAAGTTTTTTTTATTTATATCTAAATTCCAGGAACAAACCAAAAACTGTCAAATAGCTAGCAAAACCATAAAAAACAATTTAACATTTACAACCATGCATGAAAATCTGGCTGAGCAGAAGTCTATGCCCTGGGAAACATCCATTTACCTCAGAATGCAGTGATAATTCATCTTCCATAACCAATCCTCTTAATCTCAGATCACTGTCTTTATTACTCAACTGAGCTTCTTGCACTGCCGTCAGTGTCCATAATCGAATGTTACGAGACACACCACCGGATATCAATCTAGCACCTTTTGATAACAGAACGCATATTTCCGCAGTATCTGCTTTCCAATGTAAGAAACATTCGTTTGTTTGTGTGTCCCATGCCGTCACAACACCTTTATTAGTACCTGCAATATTGGTAATACTGGAATTTTAATATGATGATGAAAAAAGCAATGTGGTGAGTCATTTTACCAGACCAACTCAACTTTAAATGGCCTATAAAAGTGTATGGCAATAAAAGCCGTAACACTGACAGGGTAGGGTGAACGAGTAACACTGACAGGGTAGGGTGAACGATATGATTATGCAGAATTTTCTAACCAGGGGGGACTTGGTTTATTTGAGGGGGTACTTTTTACGTAGTTACGAGTGTAGTAATTAATAATACACCAGCCAGAATGAGAGTTGCAAATATCCTTGGCTAATGATCCATTAAATATTGGGAAACAAACGAAGACATAATTTTTATACACACTGAGGAAATGTAGACTTTCAAAACAGGGAAAAAGAGGGAAAAGTAGCAACCAGGCTTGAGAAACAATTACTGTAAATCATATTCTCCTTTCCTCTCCCCCAGGGTAACTATAAGGATATTCCAAATATTTCACAATAAACTTCAAACCATCTAAGTATAGACCTAATGATACAGTGCAAATATTTTTGAAATTGTTCCTAATGCTATCAAAAAGCTGGTATGTCGTAAGCTAATAATTCATAAAATAAAGAAATCGTAAGTAAGCAAAATATATTAAACTGTATGGTGTATTCCTATTTTAGCTCAGTTTCAACATTACCTGCATATAGCACTTTATCAGTTCCATAACAAGCACTTGTAAAGTGAATATCAATGATGCTTTCAGCACCACATGCTTCTGTGACACTGTCAGGTATTTGTCCTTCGTGATATTGTAATTGTACCTAGACAACAAGGGAGCATGTCTCAAATATTTGGACACGATGACCAAAACGAAGTAGTACGGGTATGTAATCTTTCACAGTGCCTGTACGGTACTGAAGTCTCGACGGACCTCCAAAGCACAACGTACGCGTACGGGAACGCAAAACCGTCGTCACTAGGTGCGTAATATTTAATTTTCATGACCTTATTATACTCAAAAAAACAATCTCGTAGAGCTCACAGAATAAATTGAAAAAATAAATGCCAGCCTTCTAGCGACAATCTTCAACCACTGAAAATTTCAAAGCAATTGGTCCGGTAATAAAAAACACCCGATTCCCATGCCACAGCACTATTGCAATTAGATAATTCATTTATCTGACTTCATAAATTATCCAGCATTTACATGTATGAAAAATTTTTTGCTTGAATACAAATAATTGGGTATCTTACCTCAGAACCACATTCTTCTACCAACCAAAATAAAATACTTGAATTTTGTCCAACAGTAACAAATTCATTAGGTGCAGTTGGATCCCATGTTATCTGAACAAATGAAAACAACTAAAAAAAGACAATCTATGATATGAAACATGTTGCTTCATTTCACTCAGGTTATGGCATTATTATGGTTTAAGTCTGTAAAGTTGGTAATGTTCCGCACATGAAACTTCTGACTACAGAAACATTGTTGTTCTTAAACATATTTCATTGCAGCTGAAATTTTAACTTCATACTTCAGACCTAGTCGTGAGGGCATTCGGTATATAATTTCTTATTTCAGAAGGAGTATTGTGGTTTTTCAGATATAGATATAGATATAGATACCTTTAATAGTGGGTCACAAGCACAATAATACCATTTCAACTTACATGATGTATAGGATATTTACAGGTAGATGATGTTAAAACAGTTGGCTTTGTTTCACTATCATACCCACTCCATAACACAACAGTATTTTCACGATAATCTCCGATTGATACCAAGAATCTATGAGAAAAAATAGGCTATGATAATCTTATCTTCCAATATAGATTGCACTACAAAAAAATCACCCATAATTTTTTACATATAACTTTACTAAAAATTCTCATGTTACTAGTAAAAAATCATTCATCACACATGAAACAAAGGCAGAAAGCAAACCGCAGCAAAAAAATGAAACTGGATGGCTATGCTATATATATATATATATCTGTGGTTTTCAACCTTTTTGGTAGAGTCCAAATGAAACATTCTGGAGGCTCCTGTGCAATTGGATATCAATATATTGATTATATGAATATATTTGTTAGTATAAAAAAAGTGGAAATATGGAACATCCGAAGGTCTTTCAGAGAATACTAATGACACTCATTATTACATGAATACATTCTACCAGTGTATTTGATTATATTTCAACAATAAACATATAATAATAGACTCTCGGATTTGAATGGAAAATTGTGGAAACCTTGGACTATGATTCTGCGGAACGATTGTTGAAAACCACTTCTATATTCATAATAAGTAATGATCTGAAGTAATTTGTTGTAAAGGAAATCAAACTCTGAATAACAACAGAAAACATGAATGCCAACCAATATTATGAAATATGTTATACTATTATATACTGATTTTTAAAAGAAAAATGACAGAAATATTTGAAATCCATACCGGTCATCCCTAGAATATTCCATTGCAACTACATCGTGTTCATGATGTTTAAGAGTCGCTCGACATTGTCCAGACTCTACATCCCACAACCCAATCTCACTGTGAACCATTCCATTCTCACACGATGCACATGCTAGAATCTAGGAAAAGTAAAACATATTAAGACTACCACCAAATATATGTAGGTAGAAATTGAAGAAAACTACTAACATTTCCATTTTAAGTGATTTAAGTGTCTTGTTGATACTAACACAAATATACATATCAGTAGAGATTACGCGAGAATACCTCTCGGCTCTCAATGCCTTCACGCTAGGGGATTTATATGCGTATAATGCAATCAAGGATGCTGTAACATATGCAATTCCAGAGTCCTGCTGCACACTAACACAAAAGGTGTTCATGAATTACGCTTTCAATTTTGTTATGAAGTCAGTTATCAATATATATTAACCCGGTTTATTTTATTCAAATCAGTGTTTGATTAAGTTTTGATACTTCATTTTAATAATACACCTGTAGGGGCCGACAACCTCTACTAAACTGGGAATCACCAAGCACTATATGGTATCGATCAATTCCCTTTGAAATTTGAATGAAACATCACGAACAGGCTGTATTTCTGCAACGTTTCGTTTGACCCTAAAGTCGGTGATAGAAAAATTATGTTTGTGTGAGGAAGTCTGACTTACACTGACAGACAAACACTGGAATTTGTCCGACAGACAAAACAGCTCCGGAAGTATGTGTACCAATATGGAGGTAACTAATTTTGTTCGCCTACTTTAATCAAGTTGTGTAAAGGGACTGAAACCTATGGGCAGGGGGTATATTCACTTGGCAGAACAGTCCCCGAACTCGCAATAGAACTAAAATATAGGAAATCGGTGAAGAAATTGAGACCTAAACCTTAACTGGTACACATACTACAGGAGTACCAAATTTATGTGCCAATGTGCACTTAAATCATTCAGAATATTTACCTTCACTTCTATAGCATTCCTGTATTATATGCATACAGATCCACCCTGTGCAAAAGCACAGATAAAAAATAAGTAGGTAGTTTCACACTTCACAGGTCACAGGAACCCATATGTTAGTGTGATGAACATGGAGGTATACCTGGCTGTCATGTTGCAAAGCCATAGTGGAAATTTCCTCTGAATGTCCAGTAAGATGACGTTGTGTTCCATTAGCAAGATCCTCCAACACAACAATGCATCCACTTGAATATGCGAAAACTCCAGTGTCAGGATTCCATACCATGTTGCCACGGCCATTACCATTATAACTAATAAATAAATAAAAAGATAAATAGATGCATTAATATGTTGGTAATGTTGGTAAAAAACTTACAATCCGACAGTCACAGATTTTTTTTATCAAAATTGATCATGTGAAAAAAAATAAAAAATTTAGCTTAATTAATACCAGCTAAATATGGCAGAAATCGTAAAATTCAAAGGTCAAAAAGGACAATGCAGAATTGTGGGTGTAGATACCTAATACTAATTGCCTAAATTCACATATAGAAATGCTACTTTTACCAACAAGGCAGATCAAATTACGCTCGACTGAAAACCCCTTATTTATACTGTTTGAATCCACATGAATTGCTAAAATTACCATAGATATGAAATTCTGAATAACGGGTATGTCCCATGACAACCAATTGAGTTTTCATTTTTTTTAAACATAGAGACATTGTATTTCTGAGCCACACTTACCCGATTACTGACTCGAGTTTCAATCCTTCCTCTCCTTTCCTTGGAGCATATCTCCGATGAGATAATGTGCTTGTATTTTTAGAAGCACAAAAATGTTTCAAAACTGGTGGTTGTTCACTAAACCCTGGAGTGAATAAAATAAACACAATCAAACAAAGAAAAAAAGTTTAGAAAAAGATTAGGAAGTCGTAACAGACCAGTGGTTACGTGAACCATCCTACAGCGACCAGAAGTCCAGCAATCATCTCGCACATAATTATCCCCACATAATTCAAACCTGCGAACCCACGCATGGTAAACAGAGGTGCGATGGCGAGCGTATTCCTAACATTCAGCACAATGCGCCACGCAGCCATTCGCTGACTATAGTCGGCAAGCTTACTTACCTGTTGGTATAGTTGTTGGTTTTATACTTCTATGCAATGGCTCAGTGTCTTTCACTTTCTTTATTGGTGATAAAGCCTCCCTTCCTTTGACTGTGTTGGATCCCCAGAAAACCTTGATAGGATCATCTTGCAATGTTGAAGTTGTTGTGGTAGGATTTTCTCGGAGTTTCGAGTTTGTGTGATGCTCAAAAGGTTTCTCAGGTTGATCTGTGAATTTTGTATCAATATGTATATAAATGTCTATTTATACAAATGGAGATTTCTCTTTTCAAATATGATATTTATCATCATACAGATGTTTGTTTTTTATGAGCTTCTTAAGAGTGAAACCCATTTCCTAGAAAAGGGCTTAGAGAAGGGATTTTTACCAAAGATCAGTCTACAAAATTTTTTTTTGTTTTTAGTGCTTTGACGTTAAAAATTAACAGAAGAATGTAGTATCAACAAACAGATGTTTTCTTTTTATGAGTCTTCTTCAGGAGTGAAACCCATGTTCTAGAGCAGAGGTGTGTGAACTGCCGCCCGTGGGCCAAATGCGGCAATAAAATATTGTGCGGCCCCCGGAGAAGTGCCAATTTGGAATGGTGTGCCCTCGAAACAAGTTTTTAGTTTAGGTAATCTTGTCTGTGCGAGCGATTCCAATCTATTTGCACCGCAAAGCCTATATCAATGTTAGAAAAACGTGTTTCTCACTGAATTCGTTTGAAGTCGGTGTGAAAATAAATTTGAATAGCAGTATTCTTCAGAAATTTATGCGTTTCAACTCACCATTTCTGCAAGGACCCCTGACATACCGTAAGATCAAAAACAGAATAAAACATTTCTTTGTGCCTGAAACTACTAGAATAGATATATTAAATAAAGGTGCGGCCCGCTGCTTCACTCGATTACTTGAATCTGGCCAGATATGATTCTACTCAATGAATTTATTATTACCTGTTATTTTACAATTTGCCATCATTTTAGTATCGAGTGTAAATTCTGAAACATCAGTTGCATCAAGATCAACAGTACGTAACGTATCGGGAGGAATCCAACCTGAATTTTCAGTTCGGGCCGGACTTTTTTTCTTTAAATCACCTGAAGGATTTTATTGATTTGACCACAAACAGATGGAATTTATAAATTACTAGTAAAATAAATCGACTATTTATAACAATTTCAGTTTTAAGTTTTATAAATTTCTACGTACATGACTGATACAAATATTTAACATTTTATATATGACATGGTCCAATTCACCTTGAAACATTTTTTCACAAAAATTTGCTCAAAGCATGGCCAGGGCACTCACTCAAAAGTAAATAAGACTTAAAAAATTTTGACATAAATTTTTTTTTAAATAGGGTGTACACTAACAGTAAACAAATCTGAATCTAATCGGTGATGCAACAACAGTTTTAACAGCTCACTTCTTAAATCTGTAACTATAGTAGACTACTAGTGTCTGTAACTCAAATATACCTTTAGGTGCGGTAGGTTTGGGTAGTTCAAGTCTAGGTTGAGGAGTATCATCATCAAGTACTTGCGGGTGAAGTCCAATGTCTCGAGTTGGTATAAGGTCATCTGATTCTGCAATTTGAAACGGACCATATTTTTTAGCCATTTCATATCTATTATTTTATTTTGAAAACACATTATGTTCTACAAATATAAGATGAAACCTTCACTTGTTCTTCTTGCTGTTGTCAACAAATCTTTTCTTTGATATCTTCCTACAGATAATATATTTTCATCAATTTTTTCACGGTGGGAGCGAATATCCAACTCTGCTAATGATCCTTCATTTGAATTGAAACGTCTTGCAGCCTGGCCCAGAAAATCCCAAAGAAAAATTCCTTCCTGTCCACATGATATAATACTTGATTGATCAGGAGTGAACAGAACACGATTGATCATCCCACAATGACCAATGAATACCTGAAAACAGAAATGTATTGTTCATGGGTGATTTGCAAAAATAGCTGATAGCTATTGGATATTACTTGTTTCATTTTATTTCAAATTAGAAGCGTTGGGGAGACTATAGCCAGTGATTTGACTAAGTCACTTTTTCAAAGCCAGATTTGAGTTGACTTGGGAATCAGGAAGAAGTATTTGAGTGTTTGAAAAGGCAAAAATTATCAGTAAAATATGACATATGAAGCAGATTATTGATGTATTGAAAAAATCGAAGAATCACTGGCTCGTTGCAGGAATAACTAAAAATAGGCCGCATTGGTGCAGAAGTAAATACTCTAAATGTATTATTTAATTCTAGTTTCAATTTCAAAATGAGGTTGTCTTGACAAAAGATGGAAGTCTTAAAGTGAAGGTAACTAACATTTATCTATTCTGTTGATTATGAAATCTAGTAGGAATCTGTCATTTATTAGGAAAGGGCTTACCTGAAAATTAATATCTTTAGAAAGTTCATAATCCCAAACTTTCACAACATTATCCCCTGCCGTTGCAAAATATTTTCCATCATCACTGACACACACAGATGTTGCCTTGCTCCTGTATGGAATATATAATTATCAATTTATCGTATCAGGGATTGTGAATACAGAACAATCAGATATCAGACATTCCAAAATAATATTTCCAAAAATGATTTTTTTACAGTTCGTCTTAAATAAAAACAAGGTCATTTTGGTCATATCGCAAGACTACAATTACTCAAAATAATAAAATTTTTTTTTTGGACACCCCTATATTATATATATTCAGTTACAGTTCTGTGCCCTGTTGTCAATTTGCAGAATGTTTGATTTCAGATTGGTTCATCAGGGAAGCTATATATGAGTGGTGAACCACAAATTCAAAGAAAGGAAACGAAAGTATGTGAAATTGGCACAACAGAAAACAAGTTTTGGACCTTCATTTAGCATATAGCCAAACAACATTCATATAACTACCAAAAGCAATGAACACTTTTCTTTCAGTACTTAGTATTAGACATTGGTCTACTTGCTAATTTTTCTTCAGTTATTAGTTCATAAAGATTTAGATTTCATTTGCTCACCTGTGAATATTCTCAGTAATAGAGAGAAGACAACCATCTTTTAATCCTAACTTCAAGAGTCTGTTGCCCGTGGTAACTACCATCAAGTGATGTTGTGAGGAAGTGGAAAAACAAACCCGTAAAGGACAATCAACAGTTGGTCTTAACAAGAATTAAATTAGTTTAAATACATAAATCATATTTGGAAATGGGCATTATATTTCACAATGCAATATATGTAATGAATAATTTGTAAGACTGAACAGTAGTTGTAAGGGAATTCATAATTTACTTCGTCATGGCATAGTGGTTGCAATGGGATGGTGGTTAGAGCATTGGAATCCTTCTATGTCGGTGTTGTAGACTTAAGATTTGAGTATGAATCCTATACCACCAAATTCATCCAGAGTATGATAAATTGTGTATGCAATTTCGAACAGAAAAGATTCTGAGCCTTTTGAAAATGGTAGCAACTTAGATGTTAGTGTTTTTTGTATAGGATTTTGTTCATAATGCAATTGAGAAAATGGCTCATAAAAAAGTTACATCAGGATTACTAGCATAGAATCAATGTAGTAAACATGTTAAACCATTTCAAAACCATCACACACATCATTAATGCAACACAGACAACATAAATTAACATTGACAGTACAAGAAATCCATAATCTTAACATTTGGGCCCAATTCTCCTTTTATTTTAGTGTCACAATTTTGATTATCAGCATTTCAATTGCAAATAAATATTTTTTTGAATACCTAGAGCAGGGGTGAGCATCCTGTGGCCCGTGGGCCAAATTCGACCCATAAGAAAAAATTGTGCGACCCGCGGAGAAGTGCAACTTTTGAATGGTGTGTGGCCTGTGACACGATTTTCGAAAATAACAACATGCATGGAACATGGACTAACTTTTGCTTTAAAATATCAGGTTCCAAGTGTAAACCAGTAGAAATATCAATCCTCAGTAATTCATCAAGTGTAGCAGCAGCTGCCACTGTAACAGTATATTCAGTGGGTCCAACAAACGCTATGCGACGAGAGTCTGGTGCCACAGCAATACTACGAGGACCATATCTGTCGCCTCTTGCAATAGCACGTGGCAATGCACGAATAACAGCGGATCCAGTCTTTTCAACGTCGGAGGTGTCATATAATGTGACGGTGCCTAAAAATAAAGCGAAAAATTGTATGATATCTCATAATGAGGAATATTTATTATAAAAAGTTATGTTAAACTATTTAATTTTTAAAGTTTTCCATTCATAAACAATCTGATTCATATTGGGTATAATGAGTATATGTTGTGGACAACCTTTCTCTCTTTGAAATTTGTGATATTACCTTTTACTTCTGCGCTATACAAAAATTCTCCAGAGGGTGCAAAAATTACTCCAGTTACTTTTGAAGAGTGAATCTGATGTTCGGATAATAGACTGATTTGTTTGACATGAAAAACTCTCACAGCACCACTCTCAAACCCACATGCAAATATCTGAATGCAAAAATATAAAGATTTAAGCAAGAGCCTATATACAGTATCCATACATTCTAATTGATTCGATATGATGATCATATTTGTTGGTTTAACATTCAATTCTTTGTCATCCATAAGCTTACTGTCATATTTATTGTATTTTAACTTATTTGTTGGAAATAATATAGAAAATAAGGTTCTGGTCACGCTTGTGTTAATATATGGTCGCAATGCTGCCAGCTTTGGTTCACTGGCTTTAAAAATGCATCTATCTGTATTTTAGAGGTGTGGTAGTTGGTGCGCTTGTTCAGTAAGTCTTGCTTCATTTCCACACAATGATATTTCTATAAGTTTTGTCAGACCTTGGTCATCATGAATATATTTTTGTGAGTGTACAGCAAGACTAATGAATTACTTAAAGCAATTTTCACTCTTGCTGCATTATCCTCGCCTTATATGCATACAAATCCACCTCCATGCAAAAGCATAAAGCGAAACCCCAACAATAGCACATGTATACAAATGTTTTTTTTTATTTTCTCTCAGTTATCTTCATGATGCAGAAGAAATTCATGGATGTAAGTTATTAGTATCAAATATTAGTGATATCAGTTCAAAATTAAATCAAGTCCCTCATGTCACACAGAAAGCTGAAATGGTGGACCATCTATTCGAGTATGTGAAGATTCAAGCATTTCCAAACCTAGCAGATCCCTAATCCTAAATGGCTATCTATAAAGAACGTTGTTCAAAGCAAAAGCATAAAGAAGTACTATAAGAATTAAATATAACAGTGCCACTATACCTCTAGTGTTGGATGACAAGACACAGAAGTAGGAGTATCATCAGGCGTTGTGAAATCATAAAGTTGCCTCAATGTTGAAAAATCCCACATTCTTATACTTCCATCTTCTGAACATGTTGCTATTGTTTTCCTTAACCCATCAAAGCAGCAGTCTGTTATTCTAGGAAAAGATAAAATATAACATAGTTCCATCAGCCAGTAACTTGAAAAGTGATTTTAGTATGTAAGCACAAATATAGTAAAGAAGTTACTTTTTTACAAGAATAAATTAAAGATCATGATTTTTTCTTACTTGCCAACATGTGATCTCATAACTGTTGTATACTGCCTGGTAGAAACATCAAGATATCCAAGAGTTCCCGCAGTGGTCGATGCAAGAACTTTCATGCCATCTGGAATACGAATTATAGAATACAATGATATTGCATAAACTAGATCGACACAATTGTTAAAGTAGGCTTTAGAATACATTTAATCAAATTTGAATTTCAGGATAGACAAGAGAATTCAATTGATGAATTCAAAGAATCAGAATCATTTGTGAAACCATTTCTAATTGACTGCACCTTGATATTGATTTTTCAAACAAAAAATAATACCCAGGAAACCATTCTGGTAGGCAGCATGAAAAAGAAGTCATTCTTTTCATGGGTCATGGCATATTAATCACTGGATGTGGATAGTTTAACACAAATCTTCTTTAAATATATCAAACCTAACTTGGTGCTCCGTTTTGAACTTGGTAAGAGTTTAAACTTGAGGCAATTTAAAAAGCATGCTAAAATCATTCATCACATCACGAACCTTTCGTAAGATCGATATCAACTACAGAACCTTCATGTTTTGCTTCCAGAAATACAGTTGATAAATCAAGAGGCCATAAACGTAAGAATCCATCGTCTGATCCTGTGGCCAGGTAGGAATCAGCAAATCTGATGACATTCAAACGGATCCCTAAAAATTCAAGATTCCAAAAAAATGAGAAGTTGACAAGCTAATCATGAAAGGGAGCATGGTGGATCCTACGGCCAAGTGGTTTTAAAGTGTTATGCTCAACCATGTTGGTGCGGCAAATAACACATTTCCGGTTTGAATCCCATGCCCACGAGGCCATCACCTCATTCATGGTGTTATAAAATAGGAGGCCATCACCTCATTCATGGTGTTATAAAATAGGCAGGTAATGCCAAACTGGAAAGATTTCAGCCTTAAGCCTTTCAAAAATAATAGCTCCTCACATATCATATGACATCAGTAGCTATCTTTCAGGTCATCGATTGAAATGAATGGCATGAATCTATTGTTGAAAAAGGGACATTACAAATTGCCTTCATTTTTGAAAAAATAGGTTACCTTAATAACAGATTGGTGAAACAAAACACAAATGCTAATTTAAATAGTGTCTAGGAAAATTACATAGTTATAGGAAAAAGGATTTGTTAATAATTAATAGCATCTGTTTTCGAGGTAAGATCGAGGAAGCCCTCTTCATTAGTTTAATTGTCTGATTTGCATCAACTATAAAAATTTATAAACCTAATACTGGCCAAACAAAAATATCTTCAAAGTGTAGCATGTTTAATAATAGAAGCAAGTCTTTAATTATATTCAAACACTAAATTTATCAATATTATTATCAATATAGACTCACGAATTGAAAATGAAATTTGCGGAACCTCTGGAATGTGCTGGCGGAACCGCGGTTGAAAACCACTAATATATGGTGTCTAATTCAGAAAAGGCATACTAAAACCTTAGAGGATGTTACAGTAACTGGAATTTAAAAGTGAATAAAAAATACATTATACTCATTATTCAAGGTTTCTATTCCTTCCTAAGTTCTGAAATTCAAATATACCTTTCTGAGAATCATCTATATCCAGGTGTGTTGGTAGTAACCTATGAATATCCTTGATTCCAACATTCTGAAAATCAATCTCAATAATATATCCACCTTTAGTACAAGCATACACAGAGTGTTGAATTATATCATGTTGAGTGAGTAAATTTGAGTCATTCACAGAAGTTGCAGGAAGATTTCTTTCAGAGACTGTAAGAAAACAAAAATTTAAAAATGAAATTTCAAAAGAGTGTTGTGTTGGCGGGTTACCTGTACTTCGGTCGCTACGATTAATTAATGGCCAGAGCTGTATAAGAAACTATTATACTTGCATTCACGACATTATTTTAAACAACTAGGATAATATATATTTAAAAAAAAATTTTCTGGAATATTAGCAAAATTAATTCATAACATAGAGATGAGTTTTATAACGCAAAATATTAAAAATTTGTTGTTCTCTTCAAAAGTTTAATATAAAAAAAATTCTGGCCAGATTTCTTCAGCAGTATAATATAAACTAAATTTCTGGTCAGATGATCTGTTCTCCCTTCCTCCTTCTTCAGAAAAAAAAAGATTTCGAATTATTCCCAAAACAAAGTGAGACTTCCTATTTGGACAATAATTCTATGGTGAAAAAATCCTAAAATGTTGAAATATTCCCTCCACTTTGTGAGATCCGTGTGAAATCAATTTCTATAATAAACCAAACCAACCTTTTCCCATCTTAGAAAAAGTAACATCAGTCACTTCTCCCACTTTATGTTGGCTAAGGCTCACAGGACAGGACCGAAGTTGACCTGATCTAACACGCCAAAATCTGATGTTATCTCTGCCGCAGGTTACAAGTCTTGTATCATCAGTTGGACAAATACGCAATCGAGTTATCTGAATATTAATACAACAACTGTTACTTTATTACATTATTATGAAAATTAAAATAAAAATAAGTATTTTTTTCAAACAAAAGAAGTTGCGCATGTTCTATTAAGAAAATGTAAAGCGATTACATTCTGTTTCATGCATAAAACTGTAACTTACTGCTGATTGAAGGTGCTTTATCAAATTATAGATATCAACTTACACAAAATTCCAAATCAAACAAAAGTTTCTACAAGATATGTTTAGTTGTAAAATCGTCTTTTTCTCAGCGTAACAGGATTATATCAAATCCTTCCAAATATTTTAATTAGACATGTTCTGACAAAATGAATTATATCAAACCTCAATATCAGCTCTTGCTCTCGCCATAACACTGACAGTTCCATGTCTCAAAACACCACTTGTATCCCAAACTATTATCAATGTTTTTCCATGAATATCTCTATAAGAAATTACAATATTATTTCAATACCTACAGTGCAAAATCAAATGGAATTATGATAATACAATGGTTGTAAAGTTGGACTCAAATTCTTATTCGCCAATAAAAACGATAAGATGATCCAACTTTATAATAGAGGGTGTTGCACTCAGAGACTCATAAATGCCTCGCTGCATAAAAAAACTTCCAGTTAGCCTGATTGCAATGCTATAAAATATAACCAAAATTCCCCACGCTACTAAGAAGCATTAAAAAAATACAATGATGGCAGGAAGCCAACACTAACAAAAATTGTAAAAAGTAAGACATTTAATTGCCTGACTTAATGAATGACATGTACCCTAGGTGCCACATGACATTACAAAGCAATATTAACATGAGACTTTATACAGAACGAGAAACTATATTAAATATTAATTTATGAAATGTATGCATGTCTCATATATTGTCCACATGAAATATATTATGCTGAACTCTGAACCTTATGAACAGATGTTTAAACTGCCCAAAACAAGATGCACTTGTATTAAGAAGCAGATAAAGTACCTTCCACATCCAATCAGAACTGCTCCACTCGCAGAAAACGATAAAATATTCATAGAACTAGCTTGTTGATTCTTGACAATAGCTAAACATTTTTTGTTATCAAATCTCCATATTCTTACAATGCCACCATCACCTCTCTGTGCTGATGCGAGTATGGATGTTGTAGAAAGCGCTGAAATTGGATATGCTTGTATTTAAAATTTGGAACACATCTCATTATTTGTGCAAGGGCCATTCAGCAAGTGTAAAAGAAAAGGTGCATATTGTGTCTGTAGTGCATGTAATGTACGGTTACAATTTTTCAGTGTATTGTATTAATGAGTCTTCTCATAAGTAAATACTTGTTGTAGGTTTCAATTTCATCAAAATGTTCAAGAAAGAACATTTAGATCAGGGGTGTGCAAACTGTGGCCCGCGGGTCAAATCCGGCCCGCAAGGAGCAATTGTGCGGCCCACGGAGAAGTGCCAATTCTGACTGATGTGCCCGCAAAACGAGTTTTTAGTTTAGTTTTATTCTGTACGTGCGAGCAATTCCAATCTCCTTGCGTCGCATAGCTTATACCAGTACCTGTGTGCCACTGTCATATTAGCAAAACTAGCTAGCAAAATCCTGTTGCAAAATACACAATGTTATAAAAACGTGTTTCTCACTGAGTTCGTTTAAAGTCGGTGTGACAATAAAATTAATGGCAGTTTTCCTTAGGAATTTCTGCGTTCTAAACCATCATTTCTGCAAGGACACCTAACAATGCGGTAAGATCAATAACAAAAAGAAACAATATTTTGTGCCTTCAACTACTAGAAAGGCTATATTAATTAAGTAAAGGTGCGGCCCGCGGCTTCATCCAGTTACTTGTATCTGGCCCTTCTGTAATAAAGGTTGCACACCCCTGATTTAGATAGTCAATTCATAGTTAAAACGTGGATTTGGAATTGTAGCAAAGATGTGATAAGACTGGTATACTATGTTTCATAGAATTTTAGATCTTAAAAAAGACTTTTCTGGTTACACTATGGGACTTCAATTTGATCAAATTGATAATTTTTTCAAATGAATCTATTTTGAATTATTCATAAAGCCAAGAATTTAAAATATCAAACCTAATCAATTTCGAACCGAATTGAATATTCAATTTGTTTTGGACATACATGCTTATGTGTAAATTTCACACAAGGAAACCTACTTTTCGATAGCCTACTGCAGTCATTAAATGCAAGTGCTATAACACTGTCAGTATGCCCAACAAAAAAATGTTGATGGCCGTTTGCAATCTCCATAGCAACAATAACAGCATGCACAGCGTAGACAACAACATCGTTTCCTCCACATTGATGACCAGCAGGATGCCACATTGCTTGATTCCTGGGAATAATTTAATATGAATAATTCCTACATATAAATTATTAGTAGTTAAAAACTACGAGAAAATTTACAGAATTTTTCAAACTGAAATTAATTTGTTGGAATGGGTCTTGGACCCATTCCAGTCCCATTCCAGGACCCAGGCAGGAGTGGGCAATTACTATTTTGGGCGGGCCAGTTACATATAATGGACAACAGTCGTGGTTACTGGGCCGGAGGCTCAAAACTCAATATGAAAAACTATGAATAAAAAGCAGTTTATTTACAACATCTAGTTCAACAGCTAGGCTAACGTTTATATAACAATAAGGGGTCAATATCACATGATTTTCATCAATATTTCCACTGAAAATTCATATTCATAAAAACTATAGTCATAATTCGAGCAGACACAAATGGGCCGGATAAAACCTTTCGGTGGGCAGGATGCGGCCCGCATGGCAAAATTTGCTCACCCCTGCTATATATCATAACAGAATGGTTGGACAGTCAAATAGTTGAAACATGTGCCTTGTAGTATTACAGGTTATAAATCATGTTACATCCATTACCGAGCCATATTTCTAATGGTTAGTGCTTTGACCAAACTATCATACGAGGTGCGGCTAAAAAGAAACGAGACTGACGTCACAGATTGCGCAACACGATTAACCATCGGTAATCAACACTTTTGCAGTGTGGCGTAATATGTGTTCTATGTTTAACAGCTGTTTTGACACAATATCGCAATTATTTTTGCTTTTCAGGATCCATAAGTGAATGTGATAAATTTCTTGTTGAAAAAAAAATGCTGTGCGAGGTCTGATGGAGTTTTTTGGCGATAGGGGGTTCAATTAAAGAATGACGACTGAGCAAAGAATTAATATCAAATTTTGTGTCAAACTTGGAAAAACGGCGACTCAGACTTTGCAGATGTTGCGTGATGTTACCCAAATGGAGATTCTTTCATGTCCAGAACAAGAGTTTTTGAATGGCACAAGCGATTTGTGGAAGGCAGGGAGGATGTGGAGGATGATCCGAGGTCAGGGAGGCCTTGCACTTCCACTACTGATACCAACATCGAAAAGGTTTGACAGTTGGTTCGCAGTGACCGTCGCTTAACAATTCGCGTCATTACCAACGAAATTGGGATGGACAAAGAAACGGTCCGCACCATTTTGGTTGACACTTTGGGAATGCGAAAGGTGTGTGCCAAAATGATGCCAAAGGCTCTTGAGTTGACTGAGGAGCAGAAAGCTCAACGATTGGATGCATGCCGAGTTGACATGCATTTTTCCAAGTTTGACACCAAATTTAATGTTAATTCTTTACTCAATCGTCATTCTTCAATTGAACCCCCTATCGCCAAAAAACTCAATCAGACCTCGCACAGCATTTTTTTTCAACAAGAAATTTGTCACATTCACTTATGGATCCTGAAAAGCAAAAATAATTGCGATATTGTGTCAAAACAGCTGTTAAACAAAGAACACATATTATGCAACACTGCAAAAGTGTTGATTACCGATATTTAATCGTGTTGCGCAATCTGTGACGTCAGTCCCGTTTCTTTTTAGCCGCACCTTGTATACCCATACAATTTACAATTGACTTCCAAGTCCATGGCAAGCCATTCCTAAAATAAATGTGACATTTCACTCCCGGTAAAATGCTATTTACTATTTCATAAAAATATATATTCCAATGTAGCAATTCCTGAAACAATGTATGCAGAGAGATTCTCATACAATATTATTATGATTGTTTATTTACTTGTCAACAATCAAATCTGTGGTTTGTATGAAAAATATCAACAAAAACAGTTCTTCCACCAAATCACTAATTTAAAATTTGAATACTACCTATAGGCTTGGACATTAGGGCGAGGAGAGCCTATGCCCGATCCAAATCCTATGACATGTTTCATCTTCAATATAGGATCAGGTTGAAGACAAGTCATATCCTCAAAGTTTTTATCTGTTGTGTGAAACCCTTGAAATGGTGATGTTTGTTTTGTACTCCTTGATGATCGAGGTGTTGCGCTACTCTTACTTGATCCTGTACCAAAAAGTCACAATAAGTGTATTAATTATCGTAGGTTGCACATCTTAGGATTGATTCCCATACCCACCACCTCACCTAGAATATGTTAACTTGGATAGGCAATGCCATACCCAGAAAATTCGAAAAATAGGTTCTCACATACCAAGCGCTAACTACTCAGGTTACACATCTTAGGATTGAATCCTGCACCCACCACCTCAACTAGAGTATATTAAATTGACTAGGCAATGCCATACCAGGAAACTTTGAAAGATTGGTTCTCACCTAATATTGTATCTATGAAAAGCAAAATGTGAAAAACAGTGAACACAGAGAACAACTAACGTGCGGATGTCTTGACGGTAGCTTTTTTCATCTTTGGATCAACAGTTGCAATGCTTCGTATTGTTGAACCCTTATTATTTTTGATAAAATGCCTGTGAACTTCAACATCTCGATTATCCACTCCATCAGTGAATATATGAATGTCACCGGTACCGGATTCAACGAGTGTAACATCATTGGGCTCAGTTCTGTATAATCATAAAAGAAAAAAATAAATAAAACCCAGACTGTTGAAAACTGCTAAAGAACAATGAATAAGATTTTATACGTTATCTACTATTAGTGAATCTCAATATATGCCAAGATCCTCAATTCTGCATCCTAATTATCATTACCACATCTTTTTTATCAGGATATTATTCTCTGGATTGTTTGATGAAGGTCTGGACCATGGGCCAAAACTTTTGCCCACCTAGACTGGCAGGCCATGTAAGTAATACAAGTATGACGTAAATAGTTACATTTTATGCACACTATTTACAGTGTTACAAAAGAAAGAGTGGAAAACAATAAGCCTCATGCCAAAACTAAATTTAATCACAATCTCAACAAATTCCTTGAGCTATTTTTAGCTAAAACATCAAAATTTGGTTTTAGTTTGGTTGTGGCTGCATCAGACAGGCCAGATTGAATTATCCAACAAGCCTGGTCTGGAATCTGGTGTTTACCATGTTTTAGTTGGTGCCAGAATTATATTGAAGTTGAAATTTCTAAATAACAAGAGTCGAGAATAGGACTTTTATTAATGCTGGAAATCGAAAAAACTAATCGAATTTGTCTAAGCATGTTCGAGTCTCGACAAACAATTATTGGATACAGAATTTGTTATTAAATGGCTCTGAGTTTTTGAAGAACAAAACTGTGTGCATTTACCCCTAAATTCAACAGATTGCTTAGCGCTGCACAATATTTGACATTGAAATTGAAATATTACTGGTGATAATTTGAGATGAAATTCGAAGTATCGAATTTATATTACCCATCAGTGGAATTCAACATGCTCAGTCCAACAGGAGGCAACTCAGAGACAATCGGAACAGGTTTATTTTTTGGCTGTTTCTTGGGAACAGTAGCAACAGATATAGCATGTTGTGCTCTTGTATGAAAACCACCATGTCTCGATGCATCTACTGTTTTACCCTGTAAAATTGAAGGCAATAACAAGTTGAATATGATAATAAGATTTTGAACAGCTAACTCACCATCAAATGTTGGTTATTGGAAGGTATGTGAGCATAAATTTATTCCAGCTGTGCACAGATGCCCAACTATTTCAACTTGTTGTGATTTTATGGAATTATCATGAAATTGGGATAATTACCAAAAGCGTCTGGATTGTCAAATCCATAGATACACTTTCATAATTGCAAACTTACATATTCCACTAGGATCCCAATTGCAAAAAAATTATATATCAAACAAGGCTTCAAAATAGGTCAATATATATACCAACCTCTTCTCTGCGAGGGCTATGTATCGTACCAGGCGGCCCATTTGTAACTCTTTTTGACTTTCGAGATTGTGATCTTTCTACCAATGGTTGTTTATCATTACGTTGAATAGAATCAAATGGAAGCAAACTTGGTTTTGTGGGAGAAGGTGCATCAGGTGAAGTTGGAAATCGTACAAGATCAAACACGTCATCCCATGACTATGAAATAAAAGTTTGAATTTATGTCACTAATGATTATAGTACATGAAATGGACAATTGGAAAGTTTATCTACATACCGGTAGTTGTTGTTGGAGAAAAATTGCTTCAACTTCGACCACTGGAATGGACACTTTTAAAATTTCCGAAACCTACTTACTTTGGTACAGGTTTAGCAGAACAGACAGTAATTTTGTTCATTAGCACACATGTGTAAGATTTCAAATGAATGTATGATCATACATAAGGTGTTTACTGTTTACATGATGTTTATAGAGTATTCCAGTCGTCAGACAAGATTTTGATATTTTTTTTTAGAAACCTGGTTATATGAGCAAAGTTTTAAGTTAGTTTTGAGCAAGGTTAAATAAAAAAACGAGCGGTGCATGTGTATCAGATTTGTCAAAAGATACAAATTTAATTTCTATTTAATTGTGCATTGCTCTCTTGCTATTTCCACTAACAACATGAAAATGACATCTCAGCTCACCTTATTTTTAGGAATGTGAAAATTCATATCTCTTGGCATTGGTGCAAGATTCTCTTCAGTTGATTTAATTCCAAGTTCTCGAGCATGTCGAAAACTTAATCTTGGGTCATATTCAATATCAGAAGTGAAGCAATTTTTAATCATCAAGTTCGCGCAGATACGCAGATTTTTCAAATGGGAATATTTCCTGGTAAAACAAATAATTATTGTTGATAATGTTTTATCATCGTGAACATATTTGAACTGTGGTGAATAAATAAGATACCGTGCTGTGTTTGTTTCCTTAAAACACATGAGTTAATGAGCCATCTTTAGTAGATAACAGATAACGCATAAGAAACCATTTATTAACTACAATATCAGGTTTATATATTTCACTCCAAATATTAAGTAGCGTTTTTTCTTATATATCGTTGGATATCAGTAGCTGCTTATATAGGGCAATGCTCGGAGTGAAAGGAGTAAATTAAGACTAATGTCCAAAATATCCAAGAAATTAGATGATGAACAAGTTACCTGTTTATATAAACCGACAATATGTATTGCAAATCCAAGACAAGCATTGTCCATTTCTGAGCAAGAGGAGCAGCTCCTACCATATCTGCCTTTGCTCCTTGTGATGCACAATGTTCTACACTTCCTACAGCAGGAAATATGACAAGGAGAATAAAAGAATTTCAGCCAGCCAAATATGGATTTGACAATTCAGAAAAAATGTTGGAAAACATAATTACCGTACACTGTCTAAAATATGAAAAGTTTGATAAAGTGAATCTGCCAAGGACAACATCTTGCAAAAGTGGTACTAATTTTATAAACCATATCTTATAACCAATATAGAAATCAATTGATATGAACAGACCATAAGTATTAATCAAAGTTCTGATAGCATGCTAGAATTTACATATCATAACACCATGCTAATGAAATGAACAAGGTCATTCGGATGCACGTTAGTCGTACTCATTCATGTGATTTCTCTCTATAGTCTTATCCACGACAAAGCCTTAAAAATTAAAATGCGATTTTACCTTTGGCAGCATGACAAACAAAAGGAAACTGCAGCCAAGTAGAAGTACATTTAAATTCTTTGAATAAATTTGAAAATGAAATTCGAACAGTCAATCCTTCTTCTGTTGCTGCGTCAATATGAACAACAAAGTATCTTGTTGGTAGAGGCTAAAGGAAAAAATGTGAGAAAAAAATCAAAATTAGAAACAGTATAGCCTACTTAATAACAGAGTGAAGAAATTTTGAAACGATTTTGTCACATGTGGGTATCTACAAATTGAGTCAGTGATCATCTACAATCCGCATTGTGATTTCAAATCCAGAGTGATTAATAAGGTAGGATGTGACAATATATTAAATGTATCTATTCTACAATTGAATGTTGACTTATTCAGGGCCTCATTCAATGCAAGAATATGTAGCATCATCTTAGAAAAATAATCGGGAAATACCTTGAACAAAATATAAAGATATCTTCCAGTAAGTCCAAGTGACTGTGTACTTGTACGTGGAATCTGAATATAGTTTGCTGCTGGTATTGAACCTAGAATCGCAAAGAGAAGAATATGTCATCATCAATATATATAAATATACAAACAACATCAAAGGCTCATAGCATAGTACAAAATTTCATAGCATGATTATTTAAATCTACAAACTAAAGAAGATATAAACGATTGTACATAAGTTTTGAATTGAAGAAACATGACCATGACAGAAATAAACTTCAGTAGATGTGAAATCCGAAACAACAAATGGGAAAACTTTGTTACAACTTCATTTCACTGAACAAGCATTTGAAATAAAAAAGTATCAACCTAGTATTCTGAAGACAGTGCATTTCAATTGTTTATCCATTACTGATGCAACATCTCCTTCCTTGCTGGATCTTTTCCAACTCTCTATTTTGAATTGCTTGAATATATTGACAAATGGATGTTGCCACACTAAAAATAAAAACAGTTTTTTCACAGAAAATGATAAATAGATAAGAATATGCCAATTTATTCTGAGGTCTGAAGGTTTAGGCGAAAAAACATGGTTAAAATGACTTGAAATTGTATAATAAAATAAAGTGCTAAATGATAAAAAAGCAATTAAAAACATTTTGCATTTGTCTATAAGACAATTCCACATTAATGCTAGGTAAATAGGGCAACTTTCTGGCTTATGTTCAAATAGCCTATATGTGGCTGTATCCAGGTATTTGATTCTGACCGCTTTGATTTGATATTTGATTCAAATAGAATCACATTATGCATTAGGCTTCTACCTTGCTCATGTTTAACTCTTTAAGATAAAAATTGTTAGTTTTTAGGTACAAGATAAAAATGAATGACATACTCATCCTTGAAGTATCCTGTGCAGAATTCATTTTTCATTCATAAAGAAGATGAGATTATCATTGAAGAAACTGAGATATGCCTCATCAGCCTTTTACAGTATTATTGCAGAATTTGTCTTCGTATATAAAACATTTAATCTATATAGGGTTGCAAATATAATATCAATAGGTAATCAGGTACGGTAACGTTATGTGAAGTGAATGGTTAGTAATGTGGCGGGGAATTCTGGAATTGAAGTAAGCTTTCATACAGATTAGAATTTGTTGGAAATTCTTTAGCTTTATTAAAATCTAGCTTCAATTACCTGTACCGGTACCGTACCTATTCCAGTATTCTATTTCTTCCGTGCTCAGGCTGTCAGGTGGCCAAGCTGCCAAGACATCAAGTGAATACCGGTACCGGTACCGGTACTGCAAATTATAAAATTGCCTTTATCTATTTCTGTATTTGAATGTCTGTATGCAATTTATATTGCTCAGACGCAATTATTTTACCACTACGCTTATAACTTACGTTCATGTATCTATATTACAACGATTACCCAAATGATAGGCCTACTGTAAAAAAACGTTGATAATCCCTGGCCTAGTACAGTAGTAGCAGCCCTTGTAAACAATAAAAACGCACTCACTCCAAATCAAAATTACCGCTCGAACGACCAATGTCGGCTACGGAGCGTGACAAACCGTCACAAGCTCATGGTATAGTCCGGCCAACGACTAACGAGTCCGGCAGAATCGTGGTCGAAGGTTGTTTTGAGACATAAAGTTATTTTTATTGTTCAGATATAATGTCGATGACATAGGTGGGTGTGGAGTATACATTGTTGAGCAATTTTTTCTAAGTGGATTTTATAGCGCTACGGAAGTATTCGTACCAGGATGACGCACATCCTGAACCCTAACCTGTTACACATACAATGTTCAGGTTGTGCGCCATCTTGGTACGAATACTTCAGGAGCACCTTTTTTTGTTAAAAACAATTATTTCATAACTACATGGGTTAGTTTTGAATACATAGGCACATTAAATCTCCTTACAATGTCCGAAATTCAATTTTAGTACAATAAATAATAGTCAATTTCACTAATAAAAGCCAAGATCCATCGACAGCATCTAGCCCAGATATGGGCAAACTACGGCCCGCGGGCCAGATGCTGATGCTGCCACAACCAAATTGAAACCAAATTATTTTGATGTTAATCTAAAAATAGCTCAAGAAATTTGTTGAGATTAAGATTAAATTTAGTTTAGGCACTATGCTCATTGTCTTCCACTTTTACATTTGTAACACTGGAAATATTGTTCATAAATGTAACTTTTTACGTCACACTTGGCCCGCCAGTCTCATTGGGCAAAAAATTTTGGCCCCCGGTCCAAAATCCGTGCCCACCCTTGATCTAGCCACTTTTTTTGCACTCTTCAAACTACATTTGTGTTGCCGCGGGCATTTCGTTTTCCTGCTCAAAGCTTCGAGACTTGGGAAATATTTTGTAAGTTGAAATGGATTAGAATATTCGACCTCGTCTTTCGCTCCAAACAAGGCCATGTAAAACCGTCAACTGGTATCAAACAATGTGTAACGAGTTTTCGTTTGTAAGAACCGGAACCTTTCAGGTTCATCATTGACTTTGGCCAAATTAATATATCCTTGTGGAGATAGAGGGTATGCGTATTGGAAACGAGATGTGCACCTGTTATGCCAACATAGTTGAGTCAAACATTTTGATCACTAGTACATCACATACATTTTTCCGAGTGCTTAGGTTGTACGTGGTAACGCATACATTTTTGCGCACATGCATCAAATTCCACTTGTTTATTGACCTATTGGGTTTTGACGAGCTTGTGTATAGTTTCATCCTATAGATCAGGGCTACTCAACTGGCGGACCGCGGTCCGAATCCGGACCTTTCGAGTATTGGATTTGGACTGCATCTAATTATTTATTTTGGATCATTAGCCCCACTTTTTGAATTTCCTATTATAAAATGACTTTCAGAGTTTTGAATATATACGAAAAGAACTATAACACCATAATACAACATAATACAACTTGCATCTAACAGACAGACAAACAGACAAAGATCGATAAACAAGATCGACAAGTAATGATATTTTTTACATCATGCACTCGTCTATTACTGAATCTGTGATAATATTATTTTTCGTCCTTGGTATTCATTTTTGATCCCGGTCTGTGTCCAATAACAAAAAATATGCTTTTCGTGAACATTTTTCCATTGGACATGTCCGGCTTCAACCAACACATGACCTCTCTAAATCCTAAATTGCCCTTAGTAACTTTCATAATACCATTAAATTGCCGACTCGTTTACTTTTTTCCTCGTATTTATTTTTTATATATTTATATTTAATCTCATTTGTATCCACCTATGATGAACTTATATATAGCACATACACAAGGGTCGGGAGCCTAGATGACTTTAATCGGTCTTGCACACCGACCCGCACAGAGCAATAATCAATTACTGTGGAATATTTTCGTTATTGTATTATGTTTATATTAGTGTTGATTTTGTTTTTGTGGCAATAAAAATCTCTCTCTCTCTCTCTAATAAACAATTTTAATTTGCTACTAATTTTTTATTTATAATATTCATTTAATTTTCTTGACTTTTTTTTTTTTTATTTATAATATTCATTTAATTTTCTTGACTGTTCCGTGTAAATTTCTCGGTGAGAAATACCCGATTTATTTATGTTTTTGTGCTCACGATGTTAATATGTGACTTCATTGCATAAAAATGAATGCGTTTGCTAGCATTTATAAATTAAATGCAACTTCCCATGCTGTTCTTTGTTGTAAACTGCTTGTCTGATTTTGTTCAGGCGTAACGTTACAGAAATACATTTGTGTTAGTGTGCAGCAGGACTTTTAAACTGCGTAGAAACCTATGGTTACTGATTTTCCGGCGAATCCCCTATGTCAAAATTTTTGCATCGGGATTTAACCAGTTCACTTGTGTTGTAAAATGAATGCAACCTTTCATGCTTTGTCGTTGTAAACCTATGGTTATTGATTTTCAGGGAATCCCCTTCTATCCATTTTTGCATCAAGATTTTTGAAGCATGTTTTATAGCAAGTTTGCAACTTTCGTTAGTGGGAAGCAAGCGTTCAGTATGTTCATTTTTATAAAAAACTAAAGCATTTATATAGTTACCAGGTGTGCTCTACGAAATTCATTTTCTAGGCGTTTTCAGGGCCTCGTCTCGCGACCTATTACTGTTATCACCGTTTGGTATTGCCGAAATATATAAGTGAAATATTTTAATAGAGATAGGTAGGTATAAGATATTGTATTAAAAAGCAGAACCACTCCAATTTTTAAATAAGCATTTTGCGCAGTCGCAATTTCAACATTTCCTCGTCGTTTATCGTCGTTTTTTTTTGCAGGACATAAAAGAGAATGATTGTTATCGATATCCTCTAGGACAGGATATCTATAACAATCCTTCTACTCATGCGGGCCGTAATATTAACTAAAACGACTTCGCGGAACCGGCAACAAAACATTTTTATCGATTCATTAAAGAATACGAGATGACCAGTTTATTCTTTCTCTGGCTTTGTGGGAGATCTCGGCGCATTTTAAATAGGGCTCCCCAGCAACGTATCGTCGTGTTTATGATTATTGCCTGACAAAGCAACGTGAAGCTGATTTCTCGCAAACAGCAAAAAACTTCGCGGATCAGTGGTTAGCGACAGATGCTTGTGAGAGAAGATTTTGAGAAACCAATAGATGTCACAAATTCAGAGCACTATGACAAAAAGAAAAATGGAATTGAAACAAAATTAGCCGAAGCCGAAACTTTTCCAGTCTTCCGAAAACAGAACTGAATGCACCGATGATCTGGCCCGCGACGTTAATTCTTATTATGCAGAAATCAGCCAACCAATTCCCCGAAATCGAACTCTGGAAGCATGATATTATAACGGATAATGAAGCAGCGAAACTGAAGAAGAGCGCTCGCTGCGGATTCGAGCCTGCGACCCCCGGATGACAAAAATACCAATCGACGAAACGAAAGAAAACTCCGGCAGATTAGGGGCCTTTTTGGGTCCAATCTTGTTTTCAGACATGAAGTTTTTTTTATTTGTAATTATTCATCTTGGGGTCATTGCCCATCATTTCTACATGGGTGTGAAGTTTGCAGCCTTGAGCAATTTTTTTACGGCTCGATATTTATATTGGTGTTTTTCGTCAAATCTGTGCACCATAACGGCGCACAACCTGAACCCTAATCTGGTACACATACTGAATTCAGGTTGTGCGCCATCTTGGTGCACCCTGTTATAAACTAAAATAGGCGACCGTGCTTCGCTTGCCTGTTGTCATGCTGATTCTCGAATTCAGCTAAAACAAAAAATGTAAGAAAACGGGTTTTAGATTTTATGATTTCATTAATATACTCGACAATGAATGATATACGGGTGGTAAAATGCCAAGTTATTCCAACAACATGATCATGTTTTGCAACTTACAACCAATATTTTGTTTGCCCCAAAAAATCCAACTACAAATATCAAAAAGTGAAGCTAAAAAAGTTACACTACATCATAGTCAAATGTGCTGTATTCACGATAGATAACAAGTTTACCAAAAAGCATTATATGTAAAATGATTTTATGTGTTTGTTTCGGAAGTTTGATGATAGAATCAATTGTGGTTGTTAGGGATGTTTCAAAAAAAGGTTGAATGGAAAAAAGTTTTCACAAAATGTCAAGGTTTGAGAGTAGTAGAGAAGTAGAAAAAATACTACCATGTTTCTTCATTTGATACCCATGCCACAGAACTTCTCCGATAAATATACGCAGCAATTGCGAGAGGCAGAAATGCCAAGATGGGATTTCATCGCATTGCAAACCAATATTAGCGATTCTTAGATATATTCGCGCATTCCCATCTGAACTGCGTGGAATAGATTATACCCATCTACACACCTGAAAAACTATGTCAGATGAGCGTCATGTCATCGATTATCAGTTAAGGAATAGTGTAATGGGGAAAAAACATATAAGACATAACTTTCAGTAATATGCAATCAAATAATCTTATTGTAGAATATATATTTAAAAACATTTCGTCACACCAACCGCAGTCCGAAACTTTTT